CTTTTTTTCGTCCTGGCTCTTTATAAGTAGGAGTAAGAGTGGTCCTTCTCTTTCCTTCTCTATAAGAAGACAATGATGATCGACATACGCATACGCAACTAACCAAGTACCTTTGTTTACTTGATGAGAGGTCGATCCTAAGGTCAGGCAAACGGACTGGGAAGTCTCTAGATTATGGAAACCCCATCAACATTGGGTTTGCAGACTATGTCCCTTTAACGCATGAAGTTATTTCTGTATAACCAGCACTGCGTAGAACTAGGTATCCTTTCAAGACAACGCGTCTCCCGCCAGCAATGCAACAACAGTTCGTACCGCCCTCATCGGTCCCTCATTACCCTGAACAAATCTTTCAAATACTTTGGACGCTGCTGCCAATGAACCGCGCTCGTCACCTAAATGCCCTAGCTGATGTTAGTCCAATACGTGACGTAAGGCAGCCTTGGGGGGTACTCACACTTGCCGGGCATGCCAATGACCAGTCCAACCTTGCTTTGCGCCTCACCCGTCCAGTCAAAATCAATCCGCCACTGTAATCTCAAACACGATGTTTCTTCCTTCACGGCACCCGGTATCGGAATCTCGTACGCTGTTCTTCCCAGATGAGGCAGCAGTACTGAACGAGGCAGGTTCTCAGTCCGGTTTCTGTCTGTCGCACCATCCGCATCTTGACTATTTTCTTCATCGTCGTCCTTTCTCCTTCGCTTTTTCCGTCGTGTCCGTATCCTCGCCACGCTCTGCGCCAGCTTTTCTTTGTCGCCGAGTTCGGTGTCGAGGGTGTGCCAAACGTTCGCCCTCTCGACGGCTACTCTGTACCACTCGGACATGGCCCAAGTCACCACGCTGACGTTCCGGTTCATGTGAGTGTTGGAGCCTCCGTTTGTGACCTTTTCGACGAAAGGGCCGAGCTCCGCGACGGCTGCGGGGTCCAGGCGGGGTACTGCAAGCTCTTTGATTTGAAGGTTCTCCGTGTCGACAGTCATTTCCATCTTGGCCATGAAGAGACCCGCCGGATTAGCCGACCTAATAACGATGTTGTGTTTCCGTAGTGGAGGATCGGAATCGCTTTCCTTTGGCAGCATGTTCGTTGTCGCTGAAATTTCGAAGGGGGTAAAGGCTTGAAGGTATGGAAGCTCGTCGACGGCCGTCATCTGTATGGGGTGGTGCGAAGTAGGAGCAGGAAGTTTCTCTGGCTCTTCTTTTGGTATGGACAGCTGAGCTTGCCCTAGGGATCCAAACGAAAGCCATGATGTTGGGTTCATGGCCATGTCGAACCATCCTTGTGCAGCATCTGGCTTGGCTTCCTTCTCCGGTGGTACGAGGTGACGGCGGAGCAAGTCGAGGAGTTGATTTTGACGAGAGCGTCCCAAAGGCTGCACATCACCGGATCGGCGAGACTGCGCCTTACGTATTCGCTCGTTTTCATCAGTTGCAAGTTCCAGGTCGGCCTCTAACTTTGCGAGTTCCGCCTGAAGCGCGTCTCTCGTCTCCTTGAGCTCCGAGTAGGGATCAGGCACTGGTATTCCACGGGCCTCGTGTGTTCCGGAAGGGCCTGTTGTTGACCTTGTCTGTTTTTCCATCTGAGTCGGGCTCGTCTCTCGGGCAGCCCGTGCCATGGCCTTCTTGGAGGGATCCTGCGCCTTTTGAGAGAACTCGGGTGGTCGAAGAGGCGGTTGCTTCAGTGGCGAGCTCTTAGACGGTGAAGGGTTTCGCCGCTTCTTTTTTGAGGGTGTATCGTGGATGCCACGAGGAGGTGTCGTGACCACAGGGTCAGCCTGGCCCCTTTGCGTAGGGGTAGGCGGGAGTTCGGGCTCCTGATCGAGGTCAGGCTCAGGTTCGGGCTGGCGGGGAGGTGCTCTTCCAAGGCCGGCGCCGTGGCGAGGGGGCGTTCGATTCAAGACGCGCCCAGCAAAAGGGTTGAAGTCCTCATCGTCGTTGGGTCCAGGTTCAGGAAGTGGTCTCGGAATGGGTATGCCACCAGATCGGCGTGGCCTAGACGCCAGAGCTCCGCTCACCCTCGATTCAAGAGCCATCCGCCGCGCTGGAGAGCCCAGGTTGGTTGATTCGACCGCAGTTGATCCCGACATATTACTCCTTGGACGCGCAGGCCCTCTTTCTAAGAATCGCTCTGCCTGGCTCTCGGGTTGAGCGGCTGGACCCTCGCCAGCTACATCTTGGGTAGTAGATTGCGTTGATGGGTTGCTGGAACCCGCCTTTGATGGGCTCAGACTTCGACTTCTTCTTCGCAGGATATCGGGATTCGTCCGGGACAGGCTTGCTCTCGTTGGCGACGCGAAGGAAGGTCTCCTGGGTATTCGCGATCGTGGTGGGGGAGGGTCCGGCGGAGTGGTCGATTCGTTATTGTCTTCGTCGCGTTCTTTGCTAAGGCGGGGAGAAACCCTCCGCCGCTTCGGCGCAGACTCTTCCATGCTCAATGGTTGTCTTGGGCTTTACTGAAGCATTTCAGCGTGGAGCTGGCAGCCCGAGTTGAATTTGCGGCGCTGGTAGTCGACCTTGGTAAGATGCGCGACGGTCTCGTCCAGCGGGTGCACAGGCGGCGCGTTGTGTACATGCGACTCCACCGCTTTCCTGATTGGGCGGACCTTGGGAAGTAAACAGGGGAGGTCCTCTTAGAGCTCCTTGAAGCGTGTGTCTTACCTAGTACAAGCATGCTCCAAATCTTGCCCAATGTCTACCGTATCTAAAATCGGTTTTTTATTTTTTGGTCTATAATGCTGATAGCACTATTGCGGCCATGCTTTCTCCGTTATTTACCAATGAAAGAGGTTGTTTGAACTTCCACTACAGGTCCCTTCCTGACCTCACATGGGTACGGAGGACAAGTCCAGACGCGAGAGCACGTGATGATACTCTCACCTTACCTAAGCAACGGATTGAGACCGATGACGTCCGAGGCTTTGATGACCGCATTCCCATCGCCCTAGTCTCTCTCGCCTCTGCAGTGACAGCAGGCCGGCCTCACTCAACCCCAACAATGCCCATCTCCAAGCTTCAACCCACCTAGATCTGGACTCACCAACGGAGCACACCGAATATGTCAGCACCCGCCAGATTCCTCCCCCGCCTCCGGCCTCTCGTGCCGCGCATCGCCCGTGTGCCCCGAGGTGCCTTCGTCACGAGCCAGTCGCAAACCGGCCCGGCACCCATCGAGCCCTCTCAGACCCAAGCGCACCCGCTGGGCGCCTACTACGATGCGATCCTCAACGACCCTCAACCCATCCCCGATGTGAAGCCCGAGGAGCCCCCAAACTCCTCCATCCACAAACAGGAGCAAGGCCGTAAGACGTCGCCTCCCTCCCCAAGCCCAAGCCCAAACCCAAACCCAACCACCGAACCCGTTGCTGAAGCTCTCTCCGCACAGCCGGTGCCGACGCCGCCGCCGCAAACCGCGGCTGAGAAGGCCGCCATTGTCTTCGGCTCCGCCCTAGCCGGCCCTGCCGCGCGCCAGAAGCGTCTCGAGGAGCTGCGTTCCAAGAGCACGACGATAGCGGGGGTGGTTATTCCCCCGCGACCGGAAGAGCCGGATAACTGTTGCATGAGCGGCTGCGTCAATTGTGTGTGGGAACGGTACAGGGAGGAGATGGAAGACTGGTCGGCGGCGAATGCGGAGGCACAGCTAAAGTTGAAGGAGCAGCAAGGCGCGAGCGCGAATGATTCGAATACCATGGATGACGACGGCGGCGGTTCCGATACCAACTGGGTGCCGCAGGATCCCAAGATTGCGAAGAATATGTGGGACGAGAAGCTCTATGACGATGTCCCGGTAGGCATTCGAGAGTTCATGAAGACAGAGAAGAAGCTGAAAGCTGTACATGAAAAAGAAGGTACAACTGGAGGCTGAGGGTCACGGAACTTGGTCTTTCGGTCCTTTCTACCTTCTTCTCTTTCGTCTCATAGCTTGCGTCGGAGGCAACCATCCTCAAAAGCCATCATCAGCGTCATCCATAGACATTTGTTACAATACACTATATCACGATCGTATTAGATTCTGAAAGCTGCGATGTCGGGATATTTACTCGCAAAGGCACCACCACATGCGCCCTTGCCGCCTTTCGGCTCAACCGTCGGCTCCTGTCTTGCTTCAAGATGTGGCCGAAGATAGGAAACTGGGGTTGGGGAAGAGAGCATCAGGAGTGGCACAACTGCCATCTAGGCCGATTTGTCACATCTCAAAGTTGAGGGATAAAGTACGTCTTCGCAAAGGCCCTGATCTTTGCAAACTATTCGAGCAGAACTCTCAGTGTCAGATATCAACTGTTCGTTCTTGCCTTGACCTTATTGGTTTCCATCGTTTTTCATCCCCATGCCGTCCCTTCTTCTTACATTTCGTCTCATTATTATACTTGCCTTCTTCAACTCACACTTCAGACTGCTTTCTTGTGTTCTCTTTCAATGTCTTCACGCCTGCGGCACTATGAAAGGGTCTCCCAACAGGATTTGAACGGCAGCCACGGTCCTCACAGCGGTGACTCGCTCCCAGGGATCATCGCAGACCCGAGTGGTCGCAGCCCATCACCAACAGTGAACAATTACAGGCTATTTGAATGCCTTTCTCAAAAGACCCCGTCACAATTGTTGCCCTGCCCATTGTTCTTTCTGGATTTTCTCCTCAAGTTCCTATCACTGTCTATGCTCCATGTCATTATCGTTGCTTTTTATCACTGCTCATCATCGTTTCCGTATTCGTTATGGTGTTTCGAATACGAACGACCTGGTCACGGAAAGTGATAAGAGACGGCTCCTGCCTTTATTAACTGCCAGCGCAAGCCTGCAAAACTCCAACGTCCCGTCTACAAGCTGGCCTTCGCCCTGCCTGCCGGATCCATCAAAGCCGACCTCATTAGGGTTTCTCAAACCCGTGGGAAGAATGCGGATACTGACGACTAAGCACCTGAGGGTGTCAATGGTCACCTTTTAAGGTACTCATCCTCTTCCCTCTTTTCCTCCTCTCCAGACTAACCATCTCACCACCACCAAAGATGGCATCCAGAGGCACAATCACTCCGCTGCCGGTCATCCGCGAGGAGGAGGGCTGGGAAGATGCCTCCTCCTCGTCGGATGACGACTACGATGAAGACGAGGACGAAAACCTCGATCCGCCGGAGGACCTGCTCCTCCCCCACGAGAGGGCTCGCCCGCCTTCTCCTCCCGCTCACTCGGCCCGACTCCGCCTCATCTACCACTCGAGGGCGTGGGAGACGCAGGTATACATGCTGAAGGATGGCAAGGCCCTCAAGGAGCGATCCTCCTACCAGAAGTTGAGCAAAGGATTCTTTGCTGCCGACGAGTTTGCGACGCTCCTCAGCCACTGGTCCAACGCGCTTCACGAGCAAGTCCAAGAGATCCTGGGAGTCGACCACCCCTACCTCTCGCGCCTCGTACTCCCGGCCGCGCCGCGCCAATTCAAGCTCATCAAAGGCATGGACGGCTCCAGCCACATTCCCGATCAGCTCATGGAACCGTTTCCCGAAATGCAAGGTAGACTCGTCATGCAGAGAATGCGACCGATCAAGCCGACCATCATCCGTATCATCATCGACCACACCGTCGGCCGCGACTTCCAGAAAGAGGCTCTCACAATGCCAGAGAACTACAATCTCCACCCGAAAATCTGGCTTGGCTTGGTGCAGCCGCCCGAGGTCAAAGAGATGCTCAAAGAACACCCGAATCTCGCGACGCGACCCGCCTACCTCGACCAGCTCCTCAAGTTCATCGGTCGCCCCGGCGTCCTCGAGCTCGCGCGCAAGATGGGTACCGCTCTCGCTATCATTCACCACGATCTACAGAAGGACGCCCGTAACGTCAAGTTCCGGCTCGCGTACGATCCAACGCAGGACAAGCCTCAGCTCTGGGTCAGTGGATTGGGGAACATGGACGATTTGGCGACTAATGGGAACGACGACGGCTTCGTGGGAGATCCGGCGGGATACATCTAGGAGAACGAGCGTTTCTTCCCGCGGCCTGGCGTTGGTCCTGGTATCTTTGACGCGTTCTGGGCGGCGTACTTGATTGTCAGCGAGGCTATCATTCAGTGGAAGGAGGACATCTCGCCGGAGGGATCGTATCGGGACCAGGAGTTGAGAAAGTTGCTCATGGAGGCTCTAGTCGCGCGTCTGAAGACGCTCTAGGTTATATTTGGGCCAAGCTTGGTCTTGAGCTTTGCTTTTTTGGGAGGATAATTGCTGCGTTTCCGAGGGCAGGGAACACGAGGTTTATTGGGATTGATGAGTTATCGCCAAGGGATACCCAGAGCTTATGCAAAGACACGATAGTCTATGCCACTCAAGATGTGCCATATGGTGACCCATCGTATTGCGCCCAAAGACCATTTCTACAGTAGTACGAAAGCAAGAATTTCATGAGACCGAGCATGTGAATTTGTACATGACCCGATCAGGGCCAACAACCTACTCGTCTTTGAGTGGAGAGAATAGTCAACTGACAGCCGAGAGCATAGCAGCAAACAGTCCCATCGGCTCTCGCGGCCAGGGTCGGGAAGGAGTGGGTCTAAATTGGCATGTCATCATACTTGAAGCTCTCCACATCGACAAATCTACATTGGGAAGACTCTCGCCGTTTCATGACTCAATGCTGACTGGGCTAAAGTTGAACGCGGCGACAGCCACAGCGTCGTTTTGGAGCCTGGAAATTATCGTCAAATCTTCAATGGCAAGTGGCAGGTGGCAGGGGATGAAAATTCAGCACCAAGCTCTTTCCTCAGTTGGGACGGGAAGGAACTTTGGAAGGAGCGCAACACTTGATCCCTGCTATTTGAGAGTCACGCCGATTTCATTGGTAAATAAACACCGGAAGTGGGCTCTTTCACCGAGACAGACGGCGGGCTCCGAAGCCTCGGTATGGTGTCCCTCGGTCAGCAGCCATTCACAAGCCACAGTCGGATGACTGGCATCCGGGGCGCAGCAGCCAGATCCATGCCAAAGTGGGTCTAAAGCAACCCGCTGGTCATCGCGGGGCTCGGGGCTCGCCAGACAAAATTTCTCTCCCAAGTGCCCGCCGCCATGGCCTATCCATCCTTGTTTGGATGGCGGGGTCCCCTTTTGCTCATCGATGGATGGAGGGGTCCTGGTAGGCCTGGCGCGCATCTTTTTTTTTTTCCTTCCGTCCTCGTCTCGCGTGTGAATAGCGGCAGTCTCTCTTTCTCACTGGCAGAAACCTTGGGTCCCATTTCTTCCCTACTTAAGCTTCTTTTCCACTTTAAACTCACCTTTCTGTATATTTCCTCCCCCTCCGAAATATTCACGATCCATCTCTCCCGTTCTCTTTCTTCTTCTCTACATCCTCTCAAATACCAGACGTCAGAGACATCTCCAAATCTGCAGCATTCCTCCTACCCCGCAGTACACCCCGTCCACCGACCGAATTCGAGTCAAAGAACCCCTCCAAACACCGCAAAAATGGTCGAAAAGCTCTACGTCACGTACAACGATGTATGTTTTTCCTTCCTTCTTCCAGACCCCTAGCGCTATTACTTTCTTATTCCAGTGTTGGGTTTTCGTGTTCGTGCAAGGTGTCGCAAAACATGGGCTAACAGATGTTCTTCTTCTTCCAGGTGCACAACCTCTGCCAGGAGTCCGCCGTCAAGATCCTCGAGACCTTCCAACCCCAGCTCATCATCGCAATCGGCGGCGGTGGCTACGTTCCCGCCCGTATCCTCCGTTCCTTCCTGAAGAAGCCCGGCAACCCCAACATCCCCATCCAGGCCATCGGTCTCTCCCTGTACGAGAGCCTTCCCGAGACCTTCGGCGGCAACTCTACCCCTGGCGTCCCCGAGGTCCCTGGCACAAAGGTCACCCGCACGCAATGGCTTGACCTGACCGCTATCGGCGAGATGGAGAACCTCGTCGGCAAGCGCATCTTGATTGTCGACGAGGTCGACGACACCCGCACCACCCTTGAGTACGCCGTCAAGGAGCTGGAGAAGGACGTTGAGGCTGCTAGCCAGCGCCTCGGCAAGGGCCAGAAGACTGAGTTTGGTATCTTTGTTCTGCACGTGAGTCATATCCCCAAATCAATCGCGAATCGAGTTCGAGTTCAGACGTATTGACGTAACGGAATACAGAACAAGGACAAGGCGAAGAAGGGCACCCTTCCCTCCGACATGATGACCTCAGGTCACTACCTCGCCGCCCGCACCGTCGGCGACGTCTGGATCAACTACCCCTGGGAGGCCATCGACATTGCCGAGCACGACCGCCACGCGGCCGAGGCTCTCGCTGCGCGCCAGTAAACCCAAGGAGAGACCTTAGCATACGAGTAACATGAGAACGTGACGACGATGAGGGGCGAGGAGGATAGACGGACGGGGCTGTTTGGCGAAAGAAAGCCAGCATAGGGCGTATAAAAGGATACCAAGAGGGGCCATGCCGTCAAGCTGCCCACAAGCATACACATCACCAATGATATTTCAAAGTTATTCATTTCTGGACCTTCAAGCTTCTGACCCATGGCTGGTGGCGGCCACGGTTGGGGGCAGTGGCTGACATGCTACATCAACAGCTTTGGAGATCTTTAAACATCAACGAGACGAGGCCGACTTTCTGAGCTGTCTTGCCTACAATTCTTGAGCAGCAGTATCTAGCCACACGATGGTCATTTACGCCCCTAGATGCTCAACCCACCAGACATGATCATAACATGCACAAAAATCGAGTTTTACCACATTCGACCAAGTAAAACGTCGATTCAATCAAAGACCTGCCTCCCATACGCTTGCTAAACTTTACAGATACTTCAAACAAGAAAAGATCCTTCCACTCGAAGCAGAAGCCCCGAGCATGTTCCATCACATCTCTCAAGCCAACTCCGTCTCGATAACACTCTCAACCGCTTGCACCGGCCTCCAAATCTTCACAACCCGCAGTCCCGCCGCCGCAATCAACTCCCGCCACTGCTCCTCCGTCCTCTCGGCCGACGCCAGCCCCGCCATCATAATCATATCCGTTGCTGTCACCTTCGAAAGCGGCGCCCTCTCGCTGATCAAGCTCTCGTGGATCAACAGCCTCGAGTAACCCCTCTCCATGGCGATCGCGATATTCTTAAGGATATCCACCGCCGTGGCGTCAGGCCAATCGTGCAGCACGTTATGCAAGAAGTACGCTCTCGCCCCGCGCAGCGGCTGTGGCGTAAAGAAGTCGTGCGCCTGGATCGTGAAGGCAGAATCGGGCTTGACATCCTTCAGAAAATCGGGCAAGTCCTGCAGGATGAGATGCCGCGCGGGAATCTGCGGGTGTCGAACATGAAATTTCCTCAAATCATGGCCCTTCCCGCCGCCGATATCAACAACCAACGGCCTCTCCGGGATCGCGCCCTCGATGATCTTGTCCGTGGGATACACCTCGGTCCACGCCGTGAGGTTATCCCGCGAATGACACTCCATGACATCGTTGAAGTCGGACGTGAGCAGCGGGTTCGTGCCGACGTACTTGAAGAAGACGGCGTCGGGCCCGCGCCAGTGCTGGAAGTTGCAGTCGTTCTTGTCCGTCGGGTTCCGGTACCCGTTCTGCTTGAGGTAGTACGGCAGCGAGCGGAACATTGGGTTCGTCAGCTCGCCGTAGAAGCCGCCGTACATGGCCGGCAGAGGCGCGTCTTCGCCGAGGGCCTGGGCCCAGGGCGTGCGGGCGTAGGTGTCGAGGTCTGTTTCTATGACGAGGCGTTGGCCTGCTATTGCCCTCATCATGCGGCCTGTTTTTACCAGGTCAGTCTGTTTCTCATGGCTGAACGGGGTTCTGGATGTTCTCGACGTACGGATGAGGTGCTCATCGGCGCCGGTCAGCTTTGAGAGCTTGGTACAGGTAATGGGTTTACCACCAGCCTCGTGCCACTTTTTGAATACGCCAGCGTCGATGAGCGTCTTGATCGCCGCGTTCCCGCCGCCCTTGACCACGATGTGATCCCACGCGATATCCCACGGCGTCTGGACTTTTCTCAACGCATCATACAATGCATCTCTGGCTCGTATCCTCTCCGCCTTATCCGCGAAGCTCTCCCCGTTGATGTCCTGAAGACTTGCAATCAACGCGTCTGCAGTAGCCATCCCTGCAAGTGTATACAGTGTTCGCTATAATGAAGTTGACGACGGGTCACAGTTGCTGTTGCTGAAGAATGACAAAGCTACAGAGTAACAAGCTGTGGGAAGAGGACCTTACCGACGACGCTGACGGCCGTTTTAATACCAAACCCGTTTGCCCCCAAGGCTCCGTCATGCTGCACACTGCGTGCCCGCCAAGCGAGGTGGCTCTCAATAGTCTCTCGGCTCTCTTCTCCAGGAACAATCGTAACTGCAGTCCACAATATCACCAAAAAACCCTCCAACCCCCGGTTCCAACAATCACTTTCACGGTATGCATCCCAACGGCACAGCAGGCAAATAAACCTCACAACCCACTGCCCACCCCCCCCCCCCATGTTCCCGCTGCAGGCCTCGATTCGACGGGTATTCCGACCGGGTTTCTGGGGGCGCTTAGAAGACAGAGCAGGAAGCAAACATCCCGTGGCGAGCCAAAGCACGCAAGGCTCCCGGAGTCTTCAAGCAGCTGTGCCGTCTGCGCCTATTCAAGCAGCTTGACAGTTCTGAAAGACAGGCAAACATGCAGGCAGCAGGCTCCGCTGCAGGTTGCGGAAGTGCAGATGTACGGAGTGCAGTTACGGATATCCCACATGCGGCCCCCGTTCTTGTTGGAACCGGGCTCTCTCTCGTGGCTACCTAATCCTGCGTAAGCGTTGTGATGGCGAAGGGGGGTCCAGGGTGCAGCCAAGCAGATACCTCAGATACGGTGGATACGAACGAGCCGACCCATTCCTGAGGATCCGTATCCCCGTTTATTGGGACCGGTGTCGTTGGTGCTTTTTCGTCGTCGTACCTGTCTGTGATTATGCTCGATGCTTCGACCTGCCGGAGATGGAAAGTTGATCAGTTTTTCGTGTTGGTTTGTGATGCAGAATGCCAATGTGCGAGATTTAGATTGCGTCTTCTCGGGTGTTACAGCTGGATTTGGCATGGGGGTCGGCTGCGGCGGCTGACTGCACACTGGGTGGGTTCTTTCGGACTGAATTGGTGATGGGTCTCCGATGAGATTGGTCTAGGCCGCGATGTGTCCCTTGGCGGGAAGTCAGCTTTGGAAGAGGGTTCTTGTCTTCATGATCCTGGGTGAGGGTTTGTCTCACGGAGTTGATTGACAGATTTACCGGAACATAGTATTGAAGTTTTTCCTATTTACTTTGAAGATCGGTTGTAGTGGTCTGATGTTGAACCCTTGTACAAGCGTTTCCAATGAGACAGTACCTTATGTCGCCTACCCGTTCTATCAGAGTTTACTTGAGGCATGGGACAAAACTATTCGACGCTGTGCATACCTTCAGTGTGAATCTCGTGCAACATTGGGCGGGATTTGTCATCTTCTTTGATTTCTATAGTCTTGAATTTAAATCGTGGTGTTGGTAAGATGTGTCAATACAAATTCTATCAAGAATTGCCTCCCGCCCAGCTAAGACGTGGAGTCTCTAATGAACCAAGTTTTGTAATAGCATCTCATAAATGGCCTTAATTATGAGCTATTGACACCACATGTCATACTAGGTTGACTGGATTCAGAGTTCACGTCACCTCGGCTTGAGTTTAAATCAAGTAATCAACGATATTGAGCACTCTCTACTCTTAGTCAAGTACCTGGCGAACTTCAACCAGTTATCTTAGACCGACGTCTATCTAGACACACTACTCTGGTGACGATGCCATGAATGTGCAGATCCACATCTATCTGGTAGACCCGGCAGACATCGAAACTTGTTTCTTATAGAAGATCACGTCAATATGATTTATCTTGACTCAACCAAAGGCATGCCAAAATCCCTTGCGGCCACTGCCATCATTTGGAGTGCTTTCTTCCTGCAGCAATGCATTGACTCTCGCCATAACACCATCCAAGACAGCTTCAACCATCCCTTCGGGAGCCATCCCTCCCTCGGTACAAGCATTGATGACAGTGTCGCCGCCCGCAACCCCCGCCACATTGAACACAATACCATGGTAACCCACGGCACCTTGTACCGGGCCGGCCGAGAACTGCACATCCTCAATCTTCACCACCGGCTCTTCAACATTCGAAGACGGAGGCGCGGTCTTGAGACATCCGACATTGGAGACTGAAAAACTGTTCTGCATGAAGAGTCCCATCGACGGCAACTTCTCGGTGAACTCCTCGAGGCTTGGCCCAAGAGCATTGCCGCTGATCCAGGCCTTGTAAAGATGAGACTCGTCCCCGCCGCTCCGCGACTCCACCATTCGTCTCCCATAGTCTCGGACTAGGTCCCAAGCGGCTTTGGAATCGACGGTCGCGGTAAGTCCTTTTTGCTTGTCGCCTACGGAGGATGATGCTGAGAAGGCCTGGCGGTACTTCCTCAGTTTCTCCAGCTCAGGGAGACTCGCAGCCAGGTTGAGCAGTTTACCCTCGTCCGAAGAAGCCGTGTCGAAGCAGCCCGTGGCGCGCATATCCACGGCGTACCGGGTAAATCCGACTTCAGCGTGAGGATAGAAGTCTGCTGCGAGGGTGCCGGCGACGACAACAGCCAGAAACGGCGTGAAAGTTGTGTCATGCGCGCGGCACGCCTTGATGATGGCGTCCATCTTGTCAGAAGGAATACGATGGGTCGTGACCTTTGTGACGGTACGGTCCGCGGGCCCAACGACAGCCATCGGGTCCTTGAGTAGCTCCTTCGGCTTAGGGAAGTTGATGAAGAAGAGCTTTTTAGCGTAGAAGAACCGGTAGAAGAGGAAGACGAGGAGGTTGTAGATAACGCCCAGGACCGCTGGTTTCTTGTGGATAGTGTTCTCGAGGGCCATGCTCAGTCGTACCCTGTCGGGATCGAGCTTGATGATGCGCGTTGGAGTGGAGCCCGCGTCGGAGACGGCTGATGCATTAAGAGCATCCAGTAGCTCGCGGTGGAATATCATACCGAACGCGCCGTCACAAACGAGGTGGTGGTAGACGAAGACAACGTCTCGGCGTCCAATCACGATGATTTTCCACCAGGGCACTCCTGCCTCGACTGTACCATCAGCCCAGTGCCATTTCCCATGGAGCTTTTCGAGAAACTCGGCGTCGACTTGGGTTGTCTCGTCGTCGATGAACTCGATGCAGCGTTCGAGATTAATCTCGTTGAGTGTCGCGAGAGACAGGAGATGCTTGCCCTCCTCGGCGGCGGGCCCTACCACTCCGACGAGACCGAGCTCTGGGAACTTGGTGACGACAGCGTGGAGAGCTGAGAAGACTGCATCGTCGGAAAGGATTATACGCTGCTTGCCCGGTTGGGCTGAGGCGTAGCGAGCTGCGACTAGAACATTGGATTGGATTCCGAGGCGATGGTAAACGTAGAACATGCGGTCGAGATTTGCTGGCAAACATTAGCGTCGAGCAACTTCTAGTAGCGCCAACTGAACATACTCGTTTTACGAACAATCGTGTAATGGCCCGAATCTGCGGCCCCATCGCTCGCTCCCTTGGTCGCGATGACACTGGTTGTAGTCGCCATTTCTGGAAGTCCTCAACACGGGCAAAAGCAGTCTGTCATTGACACAAGAAACTAGAAGGCTTCTAGCTTCTAGCCTGGCAGGTAGCTGCATTTTAAACCACAGATCCAGCACCTTTTAGCCACCGTGCTGGAATCTGTTACAAAGATGAGTTGCATTAGTTGAAACGCCATTGAGGTGCAGCTGCGATGTTTGGCGATGCCAGAGCTTAACGTGATGCTCCAAGCGCAAAGTCTGTGAGGCGAAGGTGCAGAGGTAAGCCAAGAGCGTGTAAGTCAAAATCCGAGGTTCAGTCTTTGGCAGTTTGCCTGTATGAGATCTGGTCCGTGTAAGCTACTCATCTCCAACCTCCCCGTCGGGGACAGATATGACATGGCGTCAACGACTCAGCGGGAGGGGACGAAAGCAATATTGACAAGTCCCCCCACTGCCAGCGACGATCATTTCTTCGACCAGGCTGTCAAGATATAGCTCAAGTCTCATGTGAGCTCCCGTCAACATGTCAAAGATCGCTGCGCTCGGACATGGAGGATGACTCGGCCGACACTGGGATCAACTGGCACGTGGCTGAAGTCTAATGGCAGATCTCTCCGGATGTCACAACGGTAATCCGAGCCAACCTCGACGATCGCATGAGACTGGGAGGCGACGAGGATACCGAGTGCGTGTCATTACCAGATTATGATATTCATCGTCTATGGGTATCCGCTTCTTTTCGTACAAAACGCACACATGAGCACATCACTCAATTATCTTCTTCCTCCACACCCACCGGCCCGCTTTGACAGCATCGCCAAATCCTTACAAGGCCTGGATCCAATCGCGAAGAGTCTTCTGGATCTCGTAGCTGTTCTTCTCCATGAAGAACATGTGGCCGTTGCCGTGGAAGCCGGCCTCGCCGAGCTCGAGGTGCTCCGTCTTGCTGCAGCCGGCCTGGAGAAGGAACTCGACGCTGCAGTGGTCGTAGGGAGCGTGGTAGGACGCCTCAGAGGTAACGAGGAGAATGGGCTTGTCGGCGAGGTTGACGAGCTGGCGCGGGGCGGGGGTCTCGGCCTGGAGCACGCACTGGACATAGTTCTCGCCCTTGGCAGGGTAGGTCTGCTGAACGAGGTCGGTGGTGGGATCCGTGACTTCAGGGGAGTAGGTGACGGGGATGTCAGTGAGACCGTAGGCGCGGGCGGACTTGTTGCTGAAGACAGCCTCCTGGAAGGGAGGGCCGGTAGGCTCGAGGAGGATGAGAGCCTTGGTTAGCTCGGGGCGGGCGTCGGCGATGATGATGGGCATGAGACCGCCCTGGCTGTGACCGAGAACGACGGCGGGTCTGCCGATCTTGTCGAGAAGGGCGGCACCGGCGGCCTGGACGGTCGTTTGCTGGTAGGTGGCATTATTGATGAACTGGACGTTGGAGCTGTAGAAGGCATCGAAGACCTCATCACCCATCATGCCGGTACCGGGCCACTGAGTGTGGTTGACAGCCTGGGGCCAGAGCATGTACTCCTTGACGGCGGTGAAGCGCTGCTGGATGATCTCGGCGGAGTACGTCGAGGGCTTGGAGGCGCCGTAGGCGGGCATCCAAGCGGAGCGGCCACGGAGCGTCTGGTCGACGATGTAGACCTCGAAGCCCTGTCTCACAAAGTGAGAGGCCCAACCTCTACCGCCATCGGGCTTGTTGTAGAAGTTCTGAGGGACGGAGGGTCAGCGAATATTCAATATTATGACATCGCGAGGGAGGATCCCGCTGGGAAAGATCTGCAAACTTACGCTACCCGTCTGGGCCTGACCGTGGATCAGGACGATCGGCGTCTCCTGGGAAACTCCAGTCGTGGGGAGCAACTTCTCAACGTACATCTGATCGCGGAAGATGTGACCACCGGAACCATCGTCGACGTACCCGCCTCCGACGTAGAAGTAGGAGCGAATGTACGCCGCCTCGGAGTCGACGCAGCCATCCCTATCCGGCTGAGAGTCCGGGCCTCCTCCCCCGCCCGGGAAACCGAATCCAGGGCCGGGAGGGAACGCGGAAGCCTGGCCCAACAGAGCGGCGGCCGCAGCGGTGAACTTGAGGAATTGCATGGTTGTGCTGCGTCGGGCGTGTCACGTAGATGGCCTGGGAAGTGAGACACTCGGACAGGAATGGTACCGTCTTTCTGGAATTAGAGTACGAGTAAAAAAGGAAAATAAAGGGACGGACGCGAGCTGCAGGAACCGGGAAAGGACTGAAAAGAGCGACAGCGGTTGAGCAGGGGATTAAACTTTGGGCCACGCGGTACGGGAGGGTGGCAATTGGGACTTCTTTAATGAATGAAAATCACCTTGCCGCGTGCTCCGCTAGCCTGGCATAAAGGGTCCATCCTCGAGTGATTTTAAGATAGGGCTGATGGAGAAGAACAATCAAGGAATGGAGGCGTGGAAGGGTGATACGACATTAAGCCCGGTCTTGGAGACCTTGGGCGCCTTGGGGGGCCCGGCGAGCAGCATCCACCCGCTTCGGTCTGTGTGTCTGAAGAGCGGCAGTCAGCCGAAAGGTCGAGAACAAGAACGCCACGCGGCTAGGTCCCGATCTCTAGCGAGGACCGTCGAGGTGGGCTGTGGCCCAGCGGTCCCAGCGGACGAGATGATATCACGGCGGAAGTCGGGGGGGCGGGACAGAGGCAAGCCGCAAAAGGAGGCGCACCGCCGCGAACAGCTTGCTCTGCCAGAAATTTTCTCCATCAACAAGAGCAAGTCGGCTCATATTAGAGTGGTGTTCTGTGCGCGAGTCAGCGGGCGGACAGGGACCGGGGGACTACCACGCCCGATGGTCTCATATAGAATGGAGCAAGTGTTGCATCAGTCCGGCATCGTGGATATTAGTCTACCACTAGGCCGCTGACTACGGATCAAGCCCGAGCATTAATCTCCGCCATTGAGCAGAGAAAGCCTCAGAAAAGACAGGCAGAGAACGTTTCCGGACGAGGTGACTGACTCTTGCCAATTCTTGAGGCAGGAAATCTGACCCTATGTGGCATGTTTGGGGGCTAAGTTCCGTCAATATTCTGTCAAAGCCATGTGCCGGGCAGCGGAAAGCCAAGAGACCCAAAGACGACATTCTTATTACCGTAAATCGCTTCAACGTAACGTGGGGGGGATTCGGTTGATCAACTCAAACTAGCGGCGGGGCGAAGTCCTGATTACGATGATCTCGCAAACCCGGCATTCTTCCCACTATTGTGATCTTTGGGTCTTGAATAAATCGGGTCTGCACAACAATATCCATTATCCGTAGGTACATCCCATCATCCTGGACGACCTTCAACAGGCTGCCAAGCCCGTCTAACCCGGCCTTGAATCCTGGAGGAGGGACCATTGAAGTATACGTGTAATACGACTGTGGCGGCACTTACTAGTGCTGTGATGCTAGTAGCCGGCGGACCAACGGTCAGCCCATTCCCGTTCTCTTCACGGTGAGCTTTTTTGCTCCGATAAACCCCCCAGCCGGGGAGAAACTCGTAAAGTTCAACGCCGCCCGCCGCCGCTAGACTCAGTTCAGTGAAGTTCGTTGAAAGCAGTCGAAGGAGACTAGCAAACGTCCGTATTGAGTTGGGATTCGATCGGCTAAGCAATCGCTCCCGTCGTTGGTAGCCGTTGAGAACATCTGAGCGCAAAAACAAAAAGTTGTCACTGTCAAGCTGTCAAACTCAAACAAAACAAACTTCTATCAATATCGGCTGTCCAGAATGTACCTGAACAATTACAACGCAAGACTTTTGGCGCTCCACCTGTTCCCTCGGCATCTCTAAATCCTGCAGCAAATCTTCAGCGGCACAGCGGCACAGGCGAATCTGGGTCAAGATTCCAGACGTCTCCTCTCAGGCTCTCGCAAATCGGCCCTCCTCGGCTTCTAGAAGTCGACAGACCACACAGACGAAAGAGTACGTGCTGCTCAAGCTGCGTCTCTGCTGCGAGGAAGAGCCCCACGGTGGATCATCGCAATCACACATCTTATGGAGATTCCTCGACAGCCGACGTGCATCCGAACCACCACCAGGGAAAGTTGGGGTTCGCAGCATCCAAACTCCGGAGGTCTCAAGCCCTGATCCTTTCATCTAGGACCATCTTTTTTCTCTTTTCTCTGCAAGGCTCTGGCCGCTCTACAAGCATTGGCAAGGTCCCAGACTCCCCAGAGTCTGGTCACGCCCGCAAACATTTCTGAGAATGGTATGATGGTCCTTTCACACAGCAGGTCAGTACCTCGGGCAAGCTGGGATCGGAAGACTTTGCGTATCAAGCTAGCAAGGCCCCCTATTCTCCCCTACCTTAGTGCGATGAGTACGTAGACGTGAAACCGAGAAGATAATAATGTTCATGATCTGCCCCCGAATCTGCGCTCCTCTTCTCAAGAGGCTCCTTTTTTTCCGTCGTCTCTCTTTTTCGTCTCTTGTCTTGTCTTGTCTCCGTCCCGTCCCATCGTCTCGTCGACCCCCCGGAGCCTCGGACACTCGCCGGCCATGGACGACCCGACGCTACTCATCCATTGGCTCTTTAGCTGCTTGGCTCTTATTATCATGGTGGCTCGGCTGGTCTGGAAAAAGGTGCACATCTCCAGACAGGAATACAACCTGGGCGACTGGTTCACAGTCGCCGCCATTATCTGCGCTCTGACGCGGCTCGGCCTCATCCACGTCGTCTTGACTTGGGGCACGAACAACGTCTCGGCGGCATATCGAAAGAATCACACATTTACCGACGAGGAGATCTACAGGCGGGAGATCGGCAGCAAACTGTCCATTGTGAACCGGGTCTTTTACAACTCCTAGTCAGTGCCGCCCCCATTTGCTTCACCGTGCACCCTCAACCACCCTGGACTTCAGCGCTCCTTTGGGCCGTTTGGTCACAATTTGCAGCGGTTTGAGTCAGGAAGGTTATTAGACTTTTACGATCAATCATACTGACATTCTCCCAAGCCTCTGGCTTCAGAAGCTCGTCCTGTTGGATGTCTATCGTCGACTGTTATTGAATCTTCGTTTCGAGAAGATCACCATCTGGTCATTTTCCATCATCTTCTTCTGCACCTACGTCGCCTGCCAGGTGACGACGTTCAGCGAATGCAATCCCTTCCATCTCTACTGGCAGGTTGTTCCTGACCCAGGTACGTGACTAGCCAATTCTCCGAACATGCAAGACATGCCGATGGGATGGAACGAACTCTGATTATTGACTCTCAACCCTTGCAGGCGCATGCTCAAAGGCACAAATGCAACTCGTCGTCGTCGGTGTCCTCAACATCGTCACCGACTTTATGCTACTCGTACTACCACTTCCCCTGGTCTTCTCCTTGAAGACGCCATGGCAACGCAAAATTCAGCTGTACGCCCTCTTCACGCTCGGCGTCTTCATCATCGCCATTACCGTCATTCGACTTCCGATCAACATTACGAACAAGGACAGTCAAATCAACCGAACGACATGGGCTAGCACCGAACTGCTCACCGCCGCGATCGTGGTCAACGCGCCGACACTGTACGGATTGTGGAACAAGAGGAGGCAAGCAAAGTCATCGTCAAAATCTCACGGCGGAACATCGGGACTGCACTATTACGGTCGAGGGACTAATGTCTCTACGCATCGGTCCACCGTCCGGCGCGGAAATGCAGAGGAGGAGGCTTATGCCATGAGCACACGACGCAAGCTGGGTCCCATGGAAGGAATCATGCAAACAAAGGAGGTGATTGTGTCGGAATTCAGGCAAGACACAGATCGCAAGGCCGGGCCCTACGAGCATCTCCCTGATGACTTGGAGAGTGCATCAAATCACTCGAGTCAGCATGGGATATTGAAGAACTAACGAAGCGTAATTTTCTTTGTTTAAAATCTAAGTAGCTAGAATACCACGAATTGAGACCCATAATGACGCTCAAGATTCCAAATTTCATAATCGTGTCCCTTTCAAGGGAACAGTTTCCTGCTTCCTTCCCAGGCCGCAAAGGCGACCCATGATTAGCATACCATCTTTATGATTGCCAACTTTGATTGATGTGTCGCTAGGATGCTGCTGCCGGAGATGTCTTCATAGTTATTCTTCTGAAATGGAGGCATGGCCCCGTCATCCCGCATAACACTATGCACAGACTCCCTTATATCCCGAAAGCATCAGACGAACCGCTCGCCAGGGTTCAACCCTTCAGTACAACAACACTCTACTCAACTCCAAACCACCAATCTCAAAAAAGTGGAAGGCACCTGATTATTTTCTTCCAACCTCATTTTGATCATCGCATGTTGACCGAAATCAAGGGGTAAAGAGAGAATGCGTCGGGCATTGGGTCCAGTGGGCCAATCAGTATTTTCGGCCGGCTTCTGAGTCAGAAATCAAAGATGGCTTATGACGTCTAACGTGCGACAGGTTGGTCGGGCAGACTCCAATGAGCAAATTCGCACGCAAGAACTGAGGCCCGCAGCGAGAGCCTTCAGGTTTCCATGCGAGAAAGGAGGCTCTGCGTAGCCTGCTCCTTGAGCCAGAAGAGTGCTGTTGGTGAGATGTGACAGTTGCCAGCTTCTCCAATTGAACTCTGCCCAATGGTTGAGACATGATGACGCACCTGTGTTGACGGGCAGAATTATTGGTTATACGGCTAGTCTCTCGCAGAAGAAGACCACCAATGGCACACTTTCTTGTTGTTGCTTATCAGGCAGTCTACGCAGGCCGCAAAATCCGTACATCCGCGGTGTCCCTTTCCGACTGTTTTGGGCTGCGCCATGGGCTGAGCTGGACCTCATGATGCGCATTTCCAGGGATGCCGCATAAGCGGCCTTCACCTGCAGCTCGAATCCTGTGAGACGGGGCGAACCGTCGCAAAATCAACAATTGCGGTAGTTTACCAAAGCCTCGTCCTCGACTTTTCCGCTTCGTTAATCTATTTACTTATGTCTCGTTCTCGATGAGAATGTCGTCTCCAGTCGAAACAATGGTCCTTTAAACTACCAGACACCCTTCACCGACATTTGGTCTTAGACACGGCTAGTCGCCGCCGTCCACGTGCTCACAACTCCGGCGCCGGCTCGTCCATTTGCGACCCACTTCTGCCGGTGATCAACGGAATCTCCCTCGGCGGGGTAGCATCACCGATCTCATTCTCAATCCCAGCCGTATGGGATAGGATTCTTGGCGAAGACTTCGGACTTTGATGGTCTCCGTCACACTCGTCATTTCTTTACGTGGTGTTTCACGGGGTAAACATCTGTCAAGATGGCCGACAGCAATTCCAGTAATAGCCCGAGCGACAATAGCAACAGCAATGGCAATGCTAACGGAGGGAGCGACGTAGTTGTTGCGATTGTTGCTCTCGTCGTCTCGGTGGTCGCTCTCTTTGCAGCTACTCTACAGATCATGCAAGCGATCTTTGCGTCGGCTAAAGGGCTTCCCAATTGCACCGAAGACGTGATGGGAGGATGGGCGAAAGGCACGACAAAACGGCCAAAGTTCAAGGAGCTACGTCTCGAGGTTAGGTTCGAGGCGCCAATCATCTTTCTGGCCCCCCCAAACAACCAGAATAAACCTGAAAAAGGAGAGATGTGGTCCGTGGAGGGCACTGAGAAAAGTTGTACCAAGAACCGACTCGAATATGCCAAGATATTCCCAAACCCTGGACCAGCCAACGGAACCAACGACGAAAAGCCGTCTAAGCCTACTGAAAAGGTCCACACTGTCAACAACGAGCTAGCAACATGGGTCTATCTCCTAATCGCCCTTGAAAGAATGGAGAAGGATTCCAAAGAATGGGAGTGCAAGAAGCTCCAAGGGGAATGGTTGCCAAGTTCCATCATCCCGGACCTGCCTGAGCCGACTTTGTCCGTGAAAGTACAGGCGAAGGAAAGAAGCTTCGATGCGAACCCCTCCATCAAGAAGCCCTATGCAACCTCTACGATCTCTCATCTGGTCGAGCTAGCAGCAATACTTGGACTCTATTGGAGAGTCTTCGACCGAGACAACAACCAGTACCGCGCGGAAGGAAATGGCTATAGTCTGACTGGCTCACGTGTACCCGACTTGGGCGTCGTCTTTGTTTTTGAGAAAACTGGTCCCACTGTATTTGAGGAGCGACGAGTGATTCCGACATCTGAAGTGAAGGAGCTCTGTTTTGGGCGAGTGCCAACTTTCTATCGAGTTAAGAAGGACCCCGACGAAGACTTGGAGTGGCAGAGGGAGTTCAAAACGTCGTCGGGAACTGGAACCAAGGTCGAAATCCTTCAACTGAGCACTCGCGATGCCATTGCGGAGACTTTGACCCAGATAGGATGCAACGGCAAAACCACGCTCTTCTACAGAGAAGGAAAGAAAGACCGGCACCTCTTTTCTGGTATGTAATTCGTTAATCGAGTGAATCTGTGCGAATTTGTGCATGTTCGACTGACTTTTAGGCAGTTACCTTCGAGGTCATCGGCATGCTCGCGCGAGTTTTGCACATTGAAGGAAGATGCTTCCGTTTCCTGCCCAATCCAACAATCTTCTCTTGGGACAGAGATTCGTTGTCACTCCAGCGTCTGCTTATCGCTTTTAGCGGACTGTTGATGAACGATCTCACGGTTGTTGAAGAAGAGGCGGAGACTGTCATCGATGAGAGGGTTGAAACTGCCGTCGAAGATATTAGGGCTCTTTCGGAGTCAGCGGAGGAGATGAGCAACGATTTTGACGAGAACCCGCCTCTAACGAGCAAAAGAATGAGTCTCTTGCACAAAGCCATTGATGTGGCAGACAAATCTCTCAAGAAACGAGACCAGGGAATCGTGCTCGATGTGCTACGTCGTCACCTCCAGGAAGTGTTGGCAGCCATCAACAGTCCGGATAAAAGGGGAAAAGAACAGATTTCATTTCGGGACCTGCTTGGTATCCCTCTGGAGATGAGAGAACAAAGGTTCATGGAGACATACTTCGAGCGCATACTATGGCGTGTAGTGCCTACCAACTCTACTAAGAGGGGTAAGCGAGATGACGAGGTCGTTTCAAGAGCTATACACGACGACACAGAGAAACGAAGATCCCGCTTGGGTAACGGCTCACCCCAAGCCGGCAGCGCAGTCCCTCCGTCGCCGTTGAGACTTAACCCCGGAGAGTCTCCAACCAAGGCTCTAGACGACTCGACGCCCACGCCCGGCATCAGCAGGGTCAAGACGTGGCCTCATCGCATCGAGACTGAGCAACCTGGTGATCAGCCGGAACTTCCGCAGCCAAGCAAGTTGTCAGAGCTGCCACAGTGGGAAACGATAGTACCCAACCATATTGAGATGCAGCGTTTGGCAATCTGGTATACACTCGTATTCAGGATGATTTGTTGGTTGATGTTGCACGACTTCGACAAGAAGGATGTGCAAGTGTCGAAAAGTGAGTTGATTGGGAACAGACAGCCCGTGTTCATTCTTTGAGCTAGGTTATGAGGGTGTTTGAGGCGCTTATTCTCGAGCTGGATTTCGATACCATCGCTCTTTAATGCATTCAATTCAGTTATGAGGACCTTGCAATTTGAGAGCCTGATATATTTACTTTTATTCATTGTTCACTGACCAATGGAACGAAGTATAAGCTTTTCTGTGCCGGTGAACCCTAGCCGCAAAAACGCGAATTACCCCACTGGGTACTTGGATCATGCCCCTCACTAGACTTCTCAAATTTTGATCCCTCACATCCCTCCCAACGACACGTGGTAGGCAAACAAAAGGCTGCGAGCTATTCATTTCAACGCTCATTCGATCCCCGGATCTCATCAAACGACACCATGACATCGTCATCAGAGCAGCCCGCCGCCCTAGAGGATGGCCGGCGCATTTATCTAGGCAACCTTCTCTACAGCATCCAGCCCGTCGACATCGAGGAGATGCTGAAAGACAATGGCTTTGAAGGGTACGAAAAAATTCACATCTCCATGGATCCAGTATCGGCTCGGAATCCCGGATACTGCTTCGTCGATTTCGCTGAGCGCGCAGACGCCGAACGGGCACTATCCTCCCTTGATGCGCGCCTCCGTGGTAGACCGCTCAAGGTCGGCCCATGCGAGCCCAAGAAGCAGAACCGGAGTCGCTGGCAAAGCGACAGAGAGCCTTCCTTCAACAGGTGGGGAGACTGGTCAGGATCGCGGGCTGAGGGCGGCGACGAGGCTGGCAGATCACCAGCGCGGAATGGTAGGAACAGCGGCATCGAGAGCGGACCGTACGGCGCCATCAAGCACTTCGACGAGGTCGTTGCGACGGAAGGGGATGGCAGGAGACTCTATGTTGGAGGATTGGGTGCAATGGTTGACCAGGCACAACATCAGGATGAACTGCAACAAATTCTTGAGGGCCACAAGCCGTAGGAAACCCCCTCCAGTCGCCAGCGATGGTGAACTTACCCTATGCCGCCGCTAACTTGACTCCGACGATAAAGACTAGCCATCAGTAAGCGTATCACTCCCCATGAGTCTACTAGGGCCAAGGGCGGTGAGCACCACTACTGCTTTGTCGATTTTGCGACAGCTGAAGAGGCCGATGCAGCAAGAAACGCGCTGGATCGCAAGGTCTGGGGAACCGGTCGTCTGCGTGTCAACGTTGCTCGCGGTCTGCCCGACAAGCTCAAGGATCGTACGACGCCCTCAGATGTGCAAAATGAGAAGGAAAATGGTGAGCGCTCGGCTTGGCGGAAGCCCAGATATGAGAATTCGAATCGCGACAACAGCGCGAGATCTTCTCAACCACTTAGATCAGCAGCATCAGGAAATTGGCGACAAAAGGAGCCTTCGACTTGAGGACAATTTGTGGTGCGATGGAAAAGTTGTTGGTCGTGGATTATGGAAAGTTTAGGCTGCATGCCGGATGAGTCTACGGCAGGCTGGGCAGATTCGTGAGAATTTGCACAGCCACCGCAGGCACACTCCGGAATACGGCAGGTCTTATAAGACCCCACCCCACACGACGGATCACCCAAACCGGCCAATCTAGCTAAAAACAGTATTATGATAATTATATCCTTATCAAATTACGTAATGATACTATTTGTCATAAATAATTTAAAATAATAGTATTTATTGCATATAATATAGATAGTAGTCTACTGAGACAGTTACAGTATCCACTAATACTGTGTATTAATATCATGTAATTGATATCGAGAACCGCCCGAGCAGCTAGCAAAGGTAGAATAGTTAAACAAATAGTATAAATAGTATATAAAACACTTCGACGCTTGAAAAACAGATTTATGTTACTTAAAGCGATAGCTAGCGTTAATTTATATCCCTTTTAATATATTAACAAAGCCGTTTCTATCGCTCCCTATCTATCTCACTTTTACCTAGCCTCGGAAGCTAGTTCTCGGCCGCCCGAAACGGTCACCGCACTTTACATTAAATACCGAAATCCGAAAAGGTTGACACTTGTACATTTCTTTTAGACAGGAACTGCAGGCTCTGCTTTCTTTCTGTGACCGTCAGGTCCCTGCTTAATCGACTTCCATTGGAAGAACAAACAGCAGATGAAGGCACAAGCAGCACAAGCCAGGGTGATGTAGAATGTGTCTCGGAGACCCTCCATATACGCCTGGAGGATAATGTCAAACGCATCTAGTCGACCCATTCTGCGGAGTATATCCTTGACCTCCGAGGCACCACTGTTGATGAAGATGGTAGGGTCAATTCCGATGCTGTCCGCCTTGATAGTGTCAATGAGGCCGTTCTGGAAGACAGTTTGGGCAACAGCAATAAAGAGAGCCCCCCCGAGAGCTTGGAAGAACTGGACCGCGGCAGTACCGACAGGAACCCATTCCTGTGGTAGTACAGTCTGCACGACCAAGACACCAACTTGAAAACCGGCGCCGAGTCCAAGGCCCGCGATGACCTGGTAGCCGAGCCACTCTTTCGGGGGCGAAACAACGTTGAGGACAGTGAGCATGCCACTACCAACAGTAAATAGGATCATGCAAGGGATGATGACAAAATTATAGTAGCCGACAACAGTAATAACGCCCCCCGAAACGATGGCGCTGAGAACGGTTGAGAGTAAGAGAGGTAGGATCTTGATTCCAGCCTGGACAGCGCTCACACCCTGAATGGCCTGGAAGTAGAGAGCTAGGCTGTGTTAGCAGAGCGCTCCAGGAAAGGAGCGACAGGAAACTTACAGAGGTAGTAGATAAGGGGAAAAAAGCCGGCGCCAAAGAACATCGCGAAGAGCATTGCCGATAAGATGTTGCGGTTCTTAAACAAACGTGGAGGCAGAGTTCCTTGGTCACTTTTCCAGAACTGAATGCCAATGAAGATGGCGATCATGGCACCGAAGCCACAGAAGAGACCGATGATGCGCGAGTTGTTCCAGGGATAATCGGCGCCCCCCCACTGCAGGGCAAGAAGCAGACAGATAATGGCGGGGATGAAGATGGCGGCACCAGCAAGATCAAGTTGCCGGACACGTTTCATGAAGGGCGTGTTGCGGGACTCGGCCGAGTTATGATTAACATGGACGAAGAAGAAGACGATTAGCATGGCGAGGCCGCCGATAGGGAGGTTGATGTAAAAACACCATCGCCAGGTAGCATGGTCGGTGAAGGCACCTCCAAGAAGAGGCCCTGCAACGGACGCGATTCCCCACATGCCGCCGACGAGACCAAAGGCAAGGGGACGCTTCTCCAGGGGCACTACGGGAATGTTAGTGGGGGCTCATGTTGGTGATGTAGGCCGTGGTGTTTGAGGTGACATACTGATTAGGGAGATAATGACAATTGATCCAGAGAAAAGACCCGCGGTTCCGATCTGAGAAGGTCAATCAGTATGAGCACAATAAATGGTCCATTGGATTAAGAAGGATAGCATACTCCAGCAATGGCACGACCGACAATGAAGACAACTGAGGATGGCGCAACGGCAGAGATCAAACTGCCAATCTCAAAGACGAAAACGGCTGTAAGGTAGGCAATCTTCACATTGAAGAGCTTGTAGACAGCTCCGTACATGGGCTGGAGAGCTGTGGTGGTGAGCAAGTAAGAGGAGCCATACCAACCCTGAGACCTATTAACGAATTTCCCTGCTGGAAGGTTTGCAATAAATAGCTCACAATATCCTTGACACTTTGGAATTGTGCCGTAATTGCACCCAGCGCAGGAGCAATGATAGTCTGATCTAGAGCAACAAGGAAGATGGCAAGGCACAGTGAAGAGATAATCAGCGCCACCTTGGCGGTCGAAGGGTACTCGGGCTGGTCGTTGTTGGCCTGATCAACACTAGAGGCAGAGCCTCCAGCGGTGAAGCCGGCGCGCTGCTCGACGTTGGCGTTGGCCTCGGCCTCGAGCTTGGCTCCGGCGGAGAGATCGACAATATTGGTGCTGACTTCGGTCTTGCCATCGGACGAGAGACGTTTCTTGTCGAGGACGGCGGCTGTGGTCGCTGCAGCGGGAGTGGTGGTTGTGGACATTGTGGAATTTCTAGTCAATCAATTTTTCGGTCGGATGTAGATTTTTTTTGTTTTGGAAGGGGCGGGGGGGGGGGGGGAATATGCGTGTTATCACAAGCTCGTCCTCTCTATATCTGTCTCTCCTTGTCTGGAGCTGGATCTTGGCGCCGTAGGCGAGTTTGATGTCTTCTCTAGGGAGTATTTGGTCCTAGGTTGATTACCTCAAGAAGCTTCAAAGAACAACGGAAACAAGGAACGAAAAGAAAAGATGGACGGATCACAGGATTGTTGAAACAAATACGTTAGTCCCGAGGTTGAGACGTAGGCTCCTTGCATTGAGAGAGAAAGAGGAAGAAGAGAGGAGGCTAGTGGACAAACTAATTAGGGATTATTGCTGCAGTGCGTAGGGTATTTCTCTAAAGATGAGCGGCGGCTGATTCAAACGACATGTTACGAGGAAGGGTAACAACTTGATCGCATCCTTGTCTGTTGTGTAGTATCTTGACGGAGTAACGCACTAATCCCTCGAGGATCTACATAGCAGTACGTGGGGGGTTAGACTGGTCTGCCGTTGAGTTTTGACTATGAATCCTAGTCCATGCCGCTGTGGGCTGCGGGTCGATCCGTTGGATGTACTGGTTATTTTCTGAAAAATGTTTTTAAAGTTATGGATAGTTATTTCATATCTTTTAGACCTGGTCAATAGCCTCACACTCCTGCCATCATCCCCTTGTTGACTTAGTTAGTACAACTTCCCCAAGCCGGCTTCTTCCGGATCAGTAAACTAAACTAAGGAGAAGCGCTCCAACCGGCTGCTCTTCCCCTTCTCCCTTTACGCTTTCTATCTTCCCTCTTTCCAACGTCTTTTCCTGGTCCCCGGCACTTAACTTTGTTGAATCATTTGAAACCACACCCGCACCCTTCTCGGCATGGTGTAGCTTTTGTCTAGTGTAGAGTTCACGAGGCAATGGTTAATTTGTAATGTTGACGAACGGGCTGGCTGGTTTACCGGTCGGGACCTTAGGCTTTAATGTCGGGTCTCAATGGCTAGACTCATCATCCATTGATCTCCCTACAACTGTAACACGATGAAGTTGTCTCAAAATTAGCTGAAGGGGCCAAAGTGACTCCATGCTCGTGGTACTATTCTGGGCTCGTGCAATGTGATGCCCCTCTTGTGTCGGCACGTCGAAGGGCTTCATTCAAGGTAACCCGCCTGCTAAAGCTAACCTACAAACCTACAATACCTAGTGAACTCGCCATCTGCCAGCAGCGCATCAAGTTCTTCTGGCAGCGTGCCAATGACAAGCTCAATCCCACCGTCCTCGCGCAGTGGATGTATAACCAACATGCGGAATGCCGCGTTGATAGCATCCATTTGCACGCGCATTGCAGATGGCACGCCGCCATCATCCAGGAACTCGTCTCCGAAAGAGATAGCACTCGTCTGGAAAAGCATCAAATTATTAACGGCGGTGTGCATCCCCTCCATCTCCATGCACGCAGTAGTCACTTTGGTGTAGTCAGGCACTGACTGCAGCAGCGTGAATGCATCATGGACTAATGAAGGCGTGATGTGGACAGCAGCAGCGCGGAGCACCTGTGAAATCTGCGCCACTGTTGTTTCTGTGCCGCAGAGCGTCGAGACCGGCATGCTCGGCCGGTTGATGACGACGAGGTTGCCCATATACGACTCTGGCAGCAGCTTTGAGAAATAAGGCCTGGCATCGATAGGCAACTCAACGATGGCCATCTCATCCGTTTCAAAGGTCTCGTCGCGCAGCTGTATCGCCACATGGCGACGCGCTTTGACGGCCGCTCGCCAAACGAATGCTTGGATCATGTCGCTGTCCGAGATGAGGCCCCCGGCTGCGGGGTCAGCCAGAACGTCTTGCCGGAGCTGCTCAATCATTTCGGTCGGAATGATAAAGGTGGATGAAGCCAAGTGCTGGCCGTTGGAAAGGGGTTTCGGCGGCCATTGAAAATTCCGGGGGAAGAACGGAGCCGGAGGGAGCGACGACTCGGTGACGAGGTTCTTAATTTCGGTCACACACTCCGTCCCTGTCTCGGCCGGATCCGGGATGTCGATGAAACCCCATACGTTCTTGTCTACTTGGCCTGCCGGTTTCGCATACCCCTCCATCTCGTATAGAATTTGCAGAAGATTACGGTTCAAACTCTCTTTGTCCAGCCAGGCGCACGTCGCCGAGGCATCGCCTTGCACATGACGACAGCATTCACCCCAGATACGCATCACCATAATGGTGCCCGTGCCGTCGAAGCATTGGTGGTGCATGTTGATGGCTAGGATACAGCCACCAGTGATAAAATTGGCCTGCGCGACGAACAAGTCGGCCGGCAGCGGCGGCAGCAACGGGCTTGAAAGTACGACATCGTCTGCAAAGCCTGAAGACGCGAAGCCACCGGCACGAAGCTCCGCAAAGGACGGGAGCACCGCCGAAAGGTCTTGGTAACGCAGTTGTCGTGGCCTGGATGACTCGGTGCTGCGGTTCGCCGTCGCCGTACAAGGCACCGGGGGAATCGAAATGCGCATGTCACCCTTCTTGTACCCTATCTCGTCCTCCGAACAGGGCATCAGCTTACCCTCGAGCTCGGGAATGAGTGTCATGGCCCGACGCAGCCCTGCCTGTAATCTTACAAACACGTCTTCAAAACGGGCGCCCTTGCGGAGCTGGTAGAAAAACTTCATGCCCAGATATATGTTGGGGCTCATCTGGTCGAAAGGGCTAACCTTTTGTGAGAGACGCATGCGGTGCAAATTGATCATGCGGTACATCTCGGCGACGTTGTCTGCAACCGTTCCATTCGAAGCTGATCTGTCAATCGCCTTCCTATGCATGTCGGCCACCAGCTGAGCCAACGTCGCTGAGAACTGGCGGAGTGTAGGGCTGCCGTAGAGATGCCTTGGGGCCAACAGGTCACGAAGCCCGGTGGCTACGCGAAGAGTCTTGATAGCACGAAAAACGAGCAGCGAGTCGAAGCCCATGGCGAAGAGGTCATCGTCGGGTGTGGCCTTCTTAATAGCAGGTGAGAAACTGCCTAAGACGTGACGGATGGCATCGGTGATGGAAACAATAGAACTGGTGTCGATAGCTAAGAACTCGGTGTCTTGGTCCGACCGTGAGCTATAGAAGCGCTCGATGTAATCAGCATACGCCTCGAGCGTGGCCCGTCGCTTCACCGTTCCCTTATCAGTGCGGGAAAAAGGTGTATCTAATTCAGCGAAAGCGACGTAATCACTTTGCACCTGATTTTTGTGCAACGACAATGCGTTGGCGCGTTCAATTGTAGCCCAGATACTATCCCATACCACGTTGGTCTTGGAAGTTGGGTTTTCAAGCTCAATTAGAAGACCTGCCTGAGGCTTCCCTGCTCCGATCTATGAACGTTAGCTAGGTTCGATCAACATGTAGGACGGAATGACTTGCCATCAGACAACCCTTAATTTCAGGATGCGTGGTGACCAAAGCCTCTGTTTCCAACGGTGAGATCTTATAGCCATTAGACAGCACAACGATGTCGTCATTGCGCCCTTTGTAAGCCCATAGATTCGGCTTAGTAGGGTGTTTGGTGTATAGATCTTTGAAGTTGACACTCCTTTCATTCGGGAAAGTATGAAAGATACCTTGGAATAGGGGCCAGTGGTCGTTGCGATGTACCCAATGTTCATAGACGCCTGACTCTACTTCCTTGAACTCGAACCCGGAGAATGGGTGAAAGGCAAAATAATACCAGTCTTGTTTTTCTACCCATAGATTCCCCATAAACAGGCCTTCTGTAGTACCGGTCAGGTTTAGAACTCGGACGACATCGTTGACTTTTGATCCGATAAGAGGGCTGACTGGGCCACCGGAAGCGCAGATGAATTTGGATTGCTTGAGCTTGACCAAAACATCGGGCGTTTCACCAAGCTCATCGACTAATGACGGGACCATGCTCCAAATATCGATCTCTGCATGGTCTGCAAGTGACTCTATAAGGTTCATGTTAGGCACTACACCTTCAGGCCCCATGATACAGTGTAGACCGAAGAGAGACGGCAGGAGGATGTTCATGATGATACCGGCGCCCTGTGAATGTGATCTCAGTTAGAAGGGGGCCTTTGGTTGTATAGCGGGGCAGAAATACGTGACTCATTGGAAACGATGAGTATATTCTATCCCCATCGATCCAATTGTTTGTCCATGGTGACAGCCCGTCATCTCCTTCGACATGTGGGAGTAGTCGCACAGCATCCATTGTACCGATCAGGCCGTGCGACCACGCGATCGGCTTTGGAAGGCCAGTCGATCCGGAGGTATGAAGTAAACAAAACGGGTTTTGAGAAGCTTCGTCAAAAGTCTTAGTGTATGGGTACGATTCAGTCGTCTCTGCATTGAGCAGTTCGTCCAATTCTGGTAAATGGAACACCTTCATACTGCGCTTCTGCAGGATGTCATCCACCAGAGGACATGAATACCCGCATGGGTTGACCCAAACGCTGCATTTTGCAGCTTCAAGCACTGCGAGTGCGCCTTCGGTGCTATTTTTGGGGGACAGAAATAGGGCCTCCATTGAACGCATTAGAAACGTGCGGCTAGGTTTGAATAGCTTGGGGTATTTCACTCACAGTGCAGCCGACCTTGACACATGCATACGTCAACAGAACGTGCCGGAGGTCATCTTCTGGAGTCAGTAAAGCAAAAATCCTGCCAGCAATTGGTTTCTTCACTTACGAGGTCCAATGTAAGCCGCTGCCCGGACAACCCTTTTTTCACCAACTTGACTATGTAACCACCAAGCGGTCTTGTCAACTGCCTTTGCAAAAGCTCGAGCAGATATGTGTTGGAACCCATGAGAGATATTCGAGGAATTTGCCACCGAGTATATAATGCGGTGAGGTTCGACAGAAGCCAAACTGTCTAATATCTGGGGAATCAACCGCCGACCATATTGCTCTGGGACAGTCATTGTTGCAAGGTGTCAGTACACTATTTGAAGAGATGCTGAACTGGAACTGTCAAGAACGAGACCTGACGAAAAGGTGCTGAGAGTAGGATAGTAGAAGAGGAGCAACTTTCGTAGGGGATAACGAGGTCTCGGGTATCCATTTGACGCCCATATCCTGCCTCTTAGCACGAACAAAAGGCGTGAAAAGACAGCCAGATTTATTGGTTACTTAGCATGATAACTTTGGGCTCAGCACGTTTGGTGATTCGCCGCGAATCCCTGGTATCTCCTAAAAGATTGACAATACCAAAAGATGCGGTACTAGGCGTTAAATGAACGGCAGGCGCGCATGGGCCGGACTAACGCCTCATATGCTGCCGATGAGCTCGAAAGGCCAAACTTTCAATTTGAGTTCGAAGCGGCAACCTCGTATCGGGAACACCCAATAGCGATAACACAATGTGAGGCGAGACGAGGACGGCTGCACACACATCACCATCGTTAGTCTATGCTACTTACGAAGAATACAACCTTCTTTTCGTCTGTGAACCGAGAACTGTGCCGATCCTCGAAGGGCAGCATATGTAGATATCACCCCTGGCATTTTGGACGCCCGTTTCGATCAGCAGGGGTGCGAGCCTTCGTCCTTTCGTATCAGTCGAGAACTGCATGAGCTAGCAAAAGTAGCAAGTCCAAAACCTAGGTGCAGAGAATTGGACTCATGCCCTACCTTGTCTTACCTGGATGTACATTCACTTCAAGATAGTTGCTCGGAAGATGTGGGAACTCCCGCTGCAGGTCTAGACGCGTGGCTGAGAATTGGGCCTTGCGGAGGACTGCCGGAGCACTCAACTTCGTGCCGCGGTTCCTGTGATTTTGGCCGCACCTCTGAACGTAACCAGTTCCGTGTGTATTCGCGACACAATTTGAGCAGGACATCAGTGACCAACGACTTTGGAGCTCTCTTCCACATGTCCGCATACCTTCTTCAGATAGCCCATTATAGACCAGTGGCAGCAAATGACTTTGGGCCGACTTGTCGAGAATCAACTGCACCTGTGTGGCTGAGCATGTATTTAAAACCCTGTGCTATTCTCTCAGTCTTACATCACCCGGTCAATTTCTTCTAGATCATTCAATTTTCCCTGCACACAACCTGCCACTCAATCCATGGATTCCGACTTGACAAGCTCGCTACATGGCAAAGATTTCGCTCACGCCACTGATGCGATTCAGAAGATGATAAGGAAGACGGATAAGGGGGATGAGACGTCTGCCAGGATCCTTGCCATCATTTTCGAGTATGCTCTCGACAAGATTGACAATTTCAAGTACCGGCATGCTGCCGGTATGACCAAGTTCTTGTCCGTCATCAACGGGTTCGTCACAGCAGATAAGCCGATTGATATGTGTCTCCCGGCATTTCCGTTCAAGTCGGCCAATAAAGCGTACAAAGTCCTCGGCTTCCTGCCAGACAAGGCTGAGGAGCTAGCCCTCCAGCGGCTTAACACCATATGTCTACGGATACGAGATATATATAGTCCAGGTGCCAGGATCACTATTATTTCAGACGGTCTGGTCTACAACGGTGAGTTACCCCATCTTATATACTGGCTTTGCTAAGATGCCCTTGATTGCAGACTTACTATGTATCTCAGATCGCGATACGTGGGCCTACGGCGAGGCTCTACGGGCTATGGTTGTCAAGAAAGGCTTTGGCCGGATTAACTTCTCCTGCCTCAAAGAGCTACTTCAATTTCCCCTTCCTGAGCAGATGAGCGAGATTGTCTACGTTGCCAATGCGACCAACCTTCGCCGGTATCTTTTAAATAGATATGGCAAAGAGGACCTTGACATCGACTACGAGATTGCCACACAGCCTGATACCCTGATGACCTATTGTGGGTACAGGAGGTTTCTTGAATCGGACTTGCAACACATCTTCCCAACCGGCAAGAATAGGTCTCACAACAGCTTTAAGCGAGAAATCAAGTTCCTCGCTAAGGAAATGATGATCCGCGGATATGTGCGTTCTCTACTGTTTGGGGCTGTGAAAGCCGCCTTGTTAGCGTACCGTACCTCTGATGCAGAACAGGCTTTCGCTGGCGCTATCAAGGCTGCTTTCCCCAACCATCTCCGCCTGTCTATCCATCATTCCACAGGCGAGAATAAGGTGTCTTTGAGTTTGCTACACACCGAGACGGGCTATACGACGCCGTGGCACTGCTGCGTGGCGCTCATGGCGAGTGGAGAGTGGCTGAGCGCCCCTATTGGCACGTTCAAAGATGATCCACGGTTTGATGTTGTTTATGAGGATGAACGGCCTAGCTATTTCCGTGAGAAGCTGAGTCGGAACGAGGATAGAAAGTAAGAAGAGAAGAGCAGTACTTGATGAAGCCACTCAGCCGAACGTAACTCTGACTGACCTGCAGAGCTATGTGTTTCAGCCTGTGGAGGTCCAGCAGGATGATGAGTGTCTTTGCTCAATTGACGTTGCTTTGTGTATTTGCACTCGTTTAGCGCCTCCCAACCTGTACGCATGCAGTGAGCCCAGACATCTCAGCTCTCCGGAGAGCTCAGGAAAGCATCATGCAGGCCCCTTCCATGGTTGGAATCACTGGAAAGGTTATATATACGCTCAGCTAAAGACTGGCTCGGTTTGATCCTCGGCAAGGCGCCGAAAACTAGGACAGAGCAAGTGTCAGGTGCCGCCTAGGGGAGGGTGGGCCTCCGGGGCAGCTCCGGGGGAGCGCCGGGGGAAGCGGCGAGGTCCACTCGAGACAGAATATCAATTCCGTGGCGAAGCATTTCACAAAGCTGGAGTCTCCACACCGTAGAAAAGGGGGTAGATTCGAATGATAGGCATGATTTGCCTCTAGCTTTGTAGAACTTGTTATCTCGAATACTCTGTCCGAACCCAGCTCTCTGACATCAGGCCCACTATCAATTTTTCACGGTCAAAACACATCGTTACTGACGCGGTTTCGCTACGACTCAGAAAATTTTCCCTAGAGTTTGAAGCAGACTGATGGTTATTATTATCAAAATCAAGATCGAATCTTCCCGAAGTCAGTTTAATGGTCGATTAGGGATAGGTTAGAAAATGACAGAAATCGCCGCCGGGCAGTCACTTTAACACGGTGACTTATTCGTATTTGAGGGGAAAACATGGTTCTTTTTGAGTTGATGCAACGCAGGCTCCTCGCGTGTAGAAATAAATGTGTCTGTCTTTAGAAAACACGTAAGTGGAGTTTGTCTGATATCTATTCTGAATGATTCTGTTTAGGCTTAATCAGGCCCCGATCACTTAGCATGAAAATCATGGCCATCTGAAAATGCAAAGCTCTTTCTCGGATTACGACGTACTCATTCCTTTCGGCTCATTTGCTCAAACAATTGGCCGATTCTGTGTTCGAATGGAGCAAGTGGGTGCTCCTCGCCGATTCCTAGATCGGTCAACTTGTATCGGGGGTTGGTCGTATGCATCGCCATATAGCCCCTGACACTATCGTTCCAGGACTGTTCGTATATGCCTCTTCCTTTGAGGATCTTCTCAACCCGCCTTGCTGATGCTATTGACTCTCGGTTTACTTCCGCTACCACAGTCAGCACTGGCTTGCCAGTACACGTGGCGCGGTTATGAACATAGTTTCTCGTGTCTCCGCTTAGCTCTTCCTTGTAGAAACTGGAGAACGTCAGCAGCTTGCTCGGACTAATAGCGCACCTTACTTACGACAAGACGTCGTTAGATATATTAATAAAATTAGCCATGTCTGGGATTGCCTCTAGAAAGGCTCCGACATCCGGGTATAGCGCTTTGGGATAGCAGAACACAGCATAGGCCTGGTCCATGCCCGACATGTCTCGATAAAAGTCTGGGAACTTTTGCCCTGCTCGCGTGACAGACATGTGTTGGAAACCGCTGTGTCGTTCCAATAAATTACTCGTCAGGAATTTGAGCACCGAGATCTGGAGCATGTTCGCTAAGACGGTGTCGAAGTGGTCGCGGGCTTCGCGAAGAAGTCCGGCAATTCCCTCAAGTAAGTAGTTTGGCTGGGGCTCGCCTCGGAACAATCTTTCATGAAAAAGGAGCGCCTCCTCCACCATCTGGTTGTTTTGCCCTACGATATCGTCGTACTGAACGACAAGCCAGGTGAAGAGTCCGACGTATCCCTGGACTTCAACCGGATGCCTGGGATGGGCGAGCTGACTGATGTTAGAATCACATTGCAAAGAATAACACTGGAACTCAACAAACCAATCCTTCAGCATAACCCAGACGAAACCCCTTCGCAGAGATGTGAGTATCAAGAGGAACTCCAATCTTCACAGCCCTATTGTACATGTACGCCAAGAGTACCTCAACAGCTTCACCTTCCAGCTGTGGGGCACCCGGATAGTTTAACTGTTCTAGCATTTGAGAACAAATGGGGGCAACAAGGGCAGCCAAGCGCTTTGGCTGGTCAGCGAGGTCATCTTCTTGTCTGACGTGTTTTTGGAAGACCCTATTCAAGGGACTGGAGAGCTGTCGCCACATGGCCCGGGCACCGGCCTGTGTACAAGACATTATGAATGAAAAGTAGTTGACCTTATGGATGAGAGTGATGTGAGAAAGAGAGAGAGAAGTGGGGAGTTAGAGCTAGTTCGTCTATAAGAAGAGCGTTGATCTGTGTGACATTGATGTTGTTTGACGGAGGAATGTTGGCTTTATATGAGAAAGCCGATGTAGATGCTAACGGGCACTTCTATCTATTCCAATATGCTGGAAACCTTGTCGATGGACGTCTTAACATGTCTACATATCGTGCAACTTCTGCTCAAGATCCCGCCCCTCTAGGTCAGGGAGGTTTAGCGGTTCCTCGTTTCCTGATATTGTCTGGTCTAGCGACAATCGCGAAACCTTTCCAATTCGGTATGGAAATGCCGCCTAGTCACACGTAGTCACCCTGCACCTGCGTGTTCTAACATGGTCTAAGTCAAGGAAAGCAGTGACTTCACCTCCGGTTAAGTCACCTAGCTGCACCTGTAGAAGCAACCATCCAGATCTAGCATGTGACAAAAATGGAGCAAAAGATACTTAAATGATGTTTCGATCATCTGAAATTTGGAAATAAAACTGTTAATAATTGCAGCTATTCTCTATAGTTAGATGTAATAATATTTGATAGCCGCGATTTTGTTGATTCTGGTGAAGAATTGGGGATGGGGGGGAGGGGGCATCTAACCCCCTGGACCGTAATTGCATGGCCTGACTATTCCTTTCAAAAAAGCTATCATGCCTTCATTGATGACGGAGCGAAACGTAGCTTTTCATCGACAGATGCAGTCACGGAACTAGATTCTGCATTACTCCTCTAGCAAACCATTAAAGTTGCATTGGAGCACCCTGTCTTCAACACGCCACGATTAGGGTTCTGGGGTCGCAGTGTATAGGACCTTGAAGGGGCAAGATGAGGATCCATCGGCATGTTACAGGAAGTAGACGCCGTAGTCAACAGCCCACGCGTGCAGATAACCGACATATACGAGTAGTTACCGCGATAGCGTAATTGGGCGAGTCTTCGTCATAGATAGTAGAGTTTGTCACCTCTGTATAGAGTTACTTCTGATGTCGACAGGATCATCGTCAACGGCCGCTCAGTTACTATCACGACGTACGTCTTGCTAGCCCCGAAGCATGTTCGTGCCGTCTTTTATCTGACTATCTCGCAGCGCTATTAGCATATACCAGTTAGATAGCCTTATAGAGTACCATAGCTTCCGTCTCGCCTAACTCTTCTTAAGGTTTCGGAGGCGCTCTACGGTATCCACGATCTCCTCAGAATAGAAAAAGGGCCCACCGCGGGATTACAGTAACCACGTCAGCAACAAGGTACATCATTGCTGGCCCGCGGAAAAATCGCGGTCGAATTGAGTTTGTGCGAGGTTCGTTCTCACGCCCGTGAACGCACTGGCGGAGTTCAATGTTCACGTTGTGGTATCTGGCTAGGCTGAAGATGCCATCCATGCGATATTATGCGTCACTATACGAAATAATCTTGGGCCGACTCGCTCGGCTCTCATTTAGCTCTTCTCAATCACGAGGAAGTGTGTTGCGCCGGGGAAGCGCTCCGGCATATTATCTACCGCCCTTATTCCGTCCGGGGTGTGCCAAATCATAACTGGTACAACAAATCACAACATCGGCAGCCCTAGGCTTGTGAGGCCCGCAGAGGCTACCAGGCTCGCACTAGGTAGGAGAACAAATAGCGTCAGTTTTAGTAACAGATGTAGGCGGCACAGACCAGTCTTCTATGATTTGAATAGCTCGCTAGCCACCATTACAAAGCGGCCGCCGTTACCAAGGTTAGAACTATTAAGTCTGGCGTTAGCGGGGTTCCTAAGCCTGAATAAACGGGCGCTTCTACCAAAATAGGCTAGGAAGAAAGCCAGTACTCTCTAACGGGCGTAAAGGGCTCCAACGACAGTCTTAACAGAAATAAGCAAGCGTCGAGGTACAGCAACGGCCAGTGATGCGACCCACGGCAGCGCACTCCTCTTCTAACAGCGGGCGGGAATCGAGGCGACGTACCCTGCTTCTAAAGGCGATAACATAGGTGAATATGATTAGCTCGCCCTATACGTTGATATTTTTAACTTTATGTCTGAGAAGAAGTATCGTGAGAGTTAGCAACAGAGTGACTAGGGCTAAGTACTTGTACAGTGTAGGCCGAGATGCATAAGTAACCGTAACCTAGTCCGCATCGGAGGGCACCGGAGCCGGCGCAACGCCTACACCTTTCGTCAACCTACCCAGTACCCTTTCTTAAACCCGTTCCGAACCTAGTATTCTCGGACGATAGGAATTCGCTTAAATAATACGATTGAAATCTTTCAAATAAGGGCATTAAGCTATAGCTTATAGTTTAAACAGCTATTATACAACTGGCCTATCTTCGAGCTTCGACCCATGGCCATCCACAACTATGATCAGCGATGTAACATTTTAACAGCGTCTGCAAACATCTTCGTCTAGACTTGAACGCTCACAAGGCGTCTTTAATGCTGGCGTGGGCGGCGGCGACAAGTTCGAAAACGTCATCTACCGACTTACCGGCTCATCAGACCCCTCGAAGTCTCTTGACGGGCTGCTGAATGCACTTCAAAGACGCGATGTCAAATTATGGGTCTTGCATGTAGGCACAAACAATCTGCACCCCAGGCGCGGAATGAGAGAATCTGACTTGGCTCTACTTCGGTTGATTGTGGAGGCTCTGCTCAAAATGAATGGCAAAGTACTTCTCATTGGGCTCTTTAGGAGGAAGGATATTAGGGAAGAGCTGATTGTGAAAGCGAATGAGAGCTATGTTGAGCTTATTCGACAATTTCAAGAGGATGAAGTTAACCAAATAGAGTTCTTAGAGCCGCCCTTGGTTGATATGGAGGAGTGTCTGGTAGACCATGTTCATCTGAACGAGAGGGGGTATCAAGTCTGGGCCGAAGTTCTGTCCAAAGCAGTCTAGAACGCCATGCAATGATGAGCTTCGGACTGCAAACTTTCGATTAGCTACGCCATTGCAGGCGTGATAATACTGTTTGTGGCAAAATATCTGTACCATTAGCTTTCGTAGAACCGTGAGTAGCATTAGGCTAGGGCCCAAAGAGGTTCTTGAATATGAACACTTTTGAAAAGATCCACCCTTTCGACCATGATATCGAACCAGTCTTCCTATGGAGCTTCGGAGATAGTTGCACAATTGAGGGTAAGACCAGAGCCTTTCCTCCTGCATTTTCTGTCCTCCAGCACTGCGATACCCTATCAAGTTTGTTTCTCGTTGCCTGAGACAATTGAACACTAGACACTCCAGATCGTTTCATGGACAGATTCATGAATACTCGCATCAAGTTCAGAAACAATAACATCATATTAAAGAAGTCGCTTAGCATATCCAAGCCAATGTTGTGTCTCAAGAAGATCTTTGCTAGACCTGAACACGATGACTCATTGAATGAGAAGATGCCAACCACCTACGACATCAAAATAGCTGTAGCAGCTTATAGCATCCAGCGTCGCGTGCTGGAAACGCTCCATCGCGCGCTCTTGGCTGAGCTTAGACAAGCTCACGACACCGAACTCGAGACTTTCCAACATGATCTCATAGATAATCTCAGGCTCCAAGCAGCCATATCACACACTACACGCAATTTATTCAGCAAACTTTCATCAACCAGCAGCAGTGAGGAGCCTGTCACACCAGACGAGCGAAACCTCCCCGCCAGCGGACGCATTCGCCGGCGAATGGAGGTTACCAAGGTCCAGCTACTTCAAGCCGAAGAGAGAAGAGCGGCAGGAAAACATCTCAAGGATGAAATTCATGGACTAAGGAAAGAACACGGAGATATAGTCATTCCGGAGAGAAATGGGGGTATTACAGAAGCCGACTGTCTCAGCGAGATTAACACGATTCTGTTTGACTGGGATCTCACCAATGTCAAGTCCGAGGGAGGAACTCATCCATGGGAGGACGACCTGGAGAGCATGGTCTCATATTACGTTCAGCGCAAACAAGAGGAGAGGAAACGGCGTCGAGAGGATCGTTCGGTGTCTTAGACCGAACCCGGAAGTCTATCGGCAAGCACTCGGCCGAGAAGGCTCTACACCACACCGGAGCTGACAGTAGCATTAATGACAGTACGTCTGAATCAATTACATGAGATGTTGTCATCAATGATCTCGCCTTTACGAATCCTGATGCCTTATCGAACCAAGGGTCGTCCCAAGCCATGCCTGAATCGTGTGCCACCTCGAACGCGTGAAGTCGGAATAAGCGTTCATCTCAGAGCTCTTCTGACACGTCTCAGTCATTGCCATCTTTAACCGGACTCTTAACGTCTGGCTCGCCAAGTGAATGGTTCCCAAAATGTCTGATGTGCGTGTTCCAAGAGTGTGGGTGACCTCGAGGACGTCAGCCAGGGTGTGCTTGATCCACTCGAAAGGACGGTCTCGACCTGAGCGAGATACTCAACGGCCATCGTGCAGTCAGTGAATGAACTTATTCAGAGTTTCGGGACGAATGCTATTTCTGGCAGGCCGAGGCTACAAATCCCTTGATATTCAGGGGCCCGAGGCATGACCCGATCTGTCCAATCTTTCCGGACGAGAGAGCTTGGGTGCCAAGGGATTCCTCAGCAACCACCCAACCTGGCATCCCTTCACTACGTAATTCACTATGTGAGAGTCTTGTAGGCGTGGAGCAGCCCTCTGGTCCCATGGTCTCATCAACAATGGGAAGTCCCACGCGTTGTAAAAGCTTGAATGAACCTCAGGAACCTGTGCAATACCATCCCTCGGACAGGAATCCCGCCATTGACCGTCCGGAAGACAATGGTTTAGGTTTCGGCGCTTTGACCACGTCATCAAACACGATTCAGTCCTGTTGCAAAGCTTCCGGGTTCAATGGGCGCCAGCTGGGATACGTTCAAGGCGTGAGAAATTCCCAAATGACTCGACGCCACCACCATCACCTCCGTTTGCCTGGCTAACGCTGTCGTCACTGTCCAGCCACCCAGTCTCCCAGTTACGGATTCCCTCCTACGTTGCGTGTTGGAGCCATTTGCTGAAAGTTAAAATCCTCGAGAGGTGGCCCCCGCACGCCCGGTGCCTCGGATCAGGGAACAGCTAGCCTCGATAGACGCCAGGCCGCGCCCTAATTAGCTGTCTCTCCTTTATGCTCAGCCAACGACCAGCAAGCGATCGCCTGTTCAAAAAGGTGAACGAAGCCGCGTTCCCGAAGGACCGAAGAAGCCGTCGCCGTCGTCGGTATCCCACGAGCTCCCACTCATCAAACCAATGTCAGATTGAGCTCACTGCAGAGCTGGCTTAACGTTCCATCTTTTCGCAGAAGTGGTGGGGGGGTCGGGATCACACCAGGGGTTCATCGCCCACAGAGGACCGGAGCCGACGGATACGATGGGATGTCGCCCGTCAGCGAGCTGCTTCGCCTGCAAGGCGCGCAAAGTCAAAGTACTCAGACTCCGAACGCCTACTGCCGACTCTTGAGCCGGTTCTTTGAAGTGAATTGAATCTAACGCGAGCTGCCAGTGCGATCTCCGAAAGCCCTCATGTAACCGCTGTACGAGTCTCGGGAGGGCGTGTCCGGGTTACGCGGATCCGTGGGCCGTTGTGCATCGCCAGCAGAACGCATCGGCGGCTCACCAGGTCCAGGTTAGGGTCGCCAAACGACTGAAGGAAAGAGGCGCATTTGACCCAGCGTCATCAATTCTGGAAGTCGACGAAGAGGGAACCTCTCCGGACTCAGTAGAGGAAGAGGAAATTCAGAGGAGGCTGCGGACCGTACCGAAAGCCTTTCAAGTCGATTCCGAGCTCATCTCACTTAACCACTTTTACTCCAACTATGCATCCGGAGGCGAGGTCGCTATGTTCAACCTCTTCCCCAGCATGAAGTCGTCGGCTGCCTCATCGCCTGTTTTGCAGGAGGCTCTCAAAGCCACGGCATTAGCCAGCTCCTCTTTACAGATGTGCCAGGCAGGCTTGATGGCTCAAGCGCGGCAACACTATGGCAAGGCGATTAGCAAGATTGGAGGCGCACTGAAGGATAACTCGACAGCGCAAGACGACTCGGTTGTTGTCGCATTACTCACTCTCGGCCTCTTCGAGGTAAGTAAACTGAGGGAGGCTGGTGAAGGAGACGTACACCGAGGAGGATGAATCTTTCGACGTGAGACCCTAACATACTTCAAGGCAATAGTACCGGATACATCACCAAGGAAGATAACATCGCATTGTCGAGGTTCTCTCGCACTCTTGAGGTATCGAGCAGAACAGGGTGTTGCCACATCACTCGATAAGGGCCTACTTGCGTTTGTGGTTCACCTGGGGGTAAGTATTCTTGTAATGACAAGCTAGTCACGGCCGGTCACTAATCTACCTCAGATGCTCGAAATATTCATCGGCCAGGAAGGTCGATCACCAGTTCTAGTCGGCTTGAAACAAGCAGCATGGGCGAAAGACGGCATGGTTGAACCGCTGCTCGTTCGAGCTATCGACTACAAACACATGATCCAGCACGTGCTATCATCGGCAGATATCGAACGAGCATCCGTCGGCCACGTAACAGAGATCTTCCAGATAGGTATCGACATCATACGCGACATAGAAGCAGCCGCGAACTACAGAATCTTATCCCCTGGGCCCCGGAATAAACCCGGACCTGACGGCGCTGTCGACGAAGACCTGAACTCTTTCAACCACTTGTTGGGCCGTAAATCGGACGCAAGCGATGCGATAGCGAAAGGTCTTTACCTCACCATCAGACTACACCTCATCGAGTACATTCTAAGCTTATCAATTGCTCTTGGAGAACCGACGCGTGAAGAGTTGAAGACGCTCGTCAACCTCCCTCATGGACTGACGGCGATGGAGCAAGTTTGCGAGCAAATCCGTATTGTATTCGGATTCGATGGCAGAGATTCAGCCTGTACCATACAGGGCGTTGGATTCAATGCTTGGTGTATGTTCTGGCCTATGATAGCCGTGCTCAAGTCGGCTTTTGCCGACAAAGACACGAAGATGTGGATCATGGACAAGTGTATGGCGGTAAGCCAGGCGTCAGGCTTTGGGATGGCGATGTACCAACAGGGTTGGTTCGAAACAGATGGTGCCAAGGATTAGACGGCCATCGCAGAGCAGGATTTGGTGTTATGATTCCCATCGAAACGGCGTTGGAGTCTGTATGTATGGAGACCACATCATCCACGCACCTAGGCATCTCAACTTCTACACGTGCGGGAGCTTGATTGAACGAAGAAAACACGAGTACACAATAATGAGCAACGATGTTTTCCACATACGTTCTATACACCCTTGGACACTACATAACACCCATTCTACACGCTGTACACGATTTCGGGAGGTCTCTTATAAACGATGTACCACAGATGAGCGATCCTCTGAAAGGTAGATGGTCCAACTTCACTCACTACCAGCCTCATCCAGCCGACGTTCTCCTCGGTGCATCCCTCGAAGGCTGGGAAGCTGAAGTGTTCTTCGATGACACGTATATTCTCTCCGTGGTAATCCTCGAGACGCGCGGGATGCCAGTCGGCGTTCACCAGGTTGATGCGTCCACGGACGTAGAGATTGGCTTCGGCCGGCGGCAGCTCCTTGTACACGACGCTGCGCAATGATACTTTGTCGACTTGCACGAAATATTCATTATGCATCGTTATGTCAGAATTAGTCTCTAAGCTGGGAGAGCTGGACTCTCGGGGCGGTTTCTCTGATGAACTCCCTGCCTGTGCTGGTTGCTTTACCCATTCACAGAAATGAGAGCGCAACGTAGCCGTGGAAGCGCCATCAAATCGTTTTTTGTCCTCTAAGAACGTCCACTTCATCTTGTCAAGAATTCCCGGATACTCGTAGTACTCGCTGCCCTGTCGGGATGTATCGTTGATGATGTCTTTGAAGCGAGCCCAAGCGTCATCATCGTTGTATGTACACCTGTAGAACACTCAGCCCCATTTGTCAAAGTCCTGGGTCTCGTCCCTTAGTAGCTCAGACTCGTAGAGCATGTCCATCCTGGGCTTAGAACCTTTCGCGTCGTTTGCTACGTAGCGGTAGCCGCCGAGGGCTGGCGAGAGACGACGAACAGGTAGAAATCGTCGATGCGAATGAGACACTCTATTGAGCGAGCGAGCTGTGATCGTACATTGGCAGCATAGAGTATTCAGATTTAGAAAGAGCCTGGAAAGAAAGCTCATCTTGCGAGCGTCTTCATGAGCATGAGGAAGTTGAGAATGAGATTGAGGTGTATTGTCAGGTTCCCCCCCTCGACCTAAGCCCCCTGAGACGTGGGGAAGCGGCGTTTGAATGAACTCGTCGCCTTGGCGCCGACCCCTGTCATTTGTGAACCGTTCTTTGAAGATGGTTCTGCTACCGGAGCGTGCTCATCGCTACCTAGCACACAAGACTGGATGACGTTGCGATTGTTGTAAGGAATTCGCGAAGCTCTTCACAGCTTTCTTACCAGTACACCTTCCCGGGCGGGCGTTGGTAGAAAACATACCAAGTGCTGGCATCGCCGCCGATACTGCCAAGCCATACCTCATACCAGTCGGAACCCATCGTCTCAGTAGACACCTTGATCCATCCGACGTTCTCCTCTCCGCACCCCTCGATAGGCTCATGAGCGGTCTCGAAAGCATCGATCTCGTCTTGCTCTGTATGTCGTAGCACTCCGGCCCATTCTCTTATCGGTTTCCAGTAGGCGTCGATGAAGTTGATGTGGCTCTCGCAGTCAAGATCGTAGTCAGGCGGTTGAGGCGCCTCGAACACGATACTCCGGAGGGACTCCAGGTCTACCTGGAAGAAGTACACATATCGAGGGACGCCACAACCTTGTATCCAATATCCTAGGTCTCCGCTCACATCTTGGGTTCTTGGGTTCTCCGATTGAAATGCGTCCAGGGACCAAGTGCGAAAATGCGATCGGAGCTGATGCTTTGAGGCCCCATCAAACAAGAATTTGTCGTCAAAAAAAGTCAACTCCAGGTTCTTTGCAATGCCTGGTGCATCCGAGTCTGCAATGTTGCGGCGCGTACGGTAGGTGATGATCTCTTTGCAACGTTCCCAAGCTTCATCGTCACCATATGTGGTGCGGTATATCACCCAGCCCCATTTGTCAATGTCGCAATTGCGCAGATGGCTCGCTATTGTTTCCTGGGAGGTTGGCAATACCCTGGCAGTCGAGGACTCGGAGAATACCCGCCGCTGTGGTGCTCTTGATGGATCGGCATGGGCAGCAATGCCGTCTTTGAAGATAGTTCTGATTCTTTGCTGACCTCGATGCTGGAGCGAGGAATACTGATAACACTGGCGACTGATCCCCCACCTCCCGAAGTTGAGTCGAACCAAGGACTGCATGGAGGATTACAGGGGATTATGAACATGTAGTTTGCAAGATGGCTCTAGCGCGTAGTGCATCGGGCGGAGTGAGCTCAGTGCCGCCCGGCCTTCGCGTCACCGGCTTGCCGGATCATCTGCAAGCGCCTCGTGGAAAGTCAAGGATTGGTCGGACGCCTTGTCTCATTCCACCTGATTGTAACTACTGCCAATGGCGCGGCCGACTCACAGGCACCTGGATCAAAAGAGTCAATCAATAGTGGAACATGGCGCTGATGTAGTTATGGCCATGGGAGCAACTTGGTCTTCATATTCTCACCCTCATCCTCTTTTCGCCTCGTTTTGCCCTCCAGTAATTAGACGACCTGATGATCTCCTCGCAGCCTTCAAGGATCCACCGCCACTTCTCGACAAAGTCCTCTGTGACCTCCCAGCTATTGGGATCCCATGGTTCTCCCCACAGAATCATGCCTCCTTTTCCAGATGGCGCATCTCCGTCGCCCACCATGTCTAGACACAGCGCCTCGTCGTCCCAGTCATCCCCAGCCTTGATCAAGTTATCCCGCATCCTCGGTAGGGGCAAAAAGTCAAGCCAGGGGTGGTGTATAGTTGTCAGCTGCGTGTCCGTCGGCTTCAAAAAGTACGGGACATTCCAAGCGGTGTTGGCATTGTACATAGGGTCGCTTCCAAAGGGAGACACGCAGTCATCGTCGCAGATCATGGGCATAGTGATACCCAACGTTCTCATGTTCTCCATCAAGCCGCGGAACAAATTGAATTGCACAAGCGGTATTAGTGAATCCGACATTGGATCCGGGTTCGGCCTCCTTCTACTCTCATGCGCGTGCTGTAGGAACAGCTGATATATGTCGTCCAAGTCCTCGTCTCGAATGTCTGCAATTTGTCGTTGCCGTCCGATGTACTTCAAGGCCATCAGCGTCGTATACTTGGCGCTTCTCTGCGAGCTCGTTTTCGACTTGCATAGGCCCTGCCGAGACATTCCCACCGTCACGTAGGTCGTCGTGCCATTATCATTGGCCACGGAGGCGGCTGGTAATGCTGCTGCCCACTTCGAGCTTGCTACGATGGAGGATGGCGGCGACAGGCTGCTGCTGGACGAGGGTTGGGACGAGGGTTTCCTTTCGTCCGTACCGGACTGTCGGGTCGTCGCCTGGCGCTGCTGTTGCTTTTCAGCTTTTCTTCGTTGTCCTGTCGCGAAAGTAGACGAGTAAGCACATGTCACTGGACGAGATGTGGTCGAAAATTCCATCAAATGATGGGCAATCAAAGGCGGGCGTAAGCAGGTTGCATGAGGTGGGTGCGCGGCTTACTCCACGTTCGCTGATTGAGCCTGTTCTGGATCTTCCGTCTCTCCGCAGGGCTCGTCTTGCCCTTCCAGTTGTCCTCGCTAGACACCACTGTTCGTATTGCAGGCTGAACTAGGCTTGAGATATGTGGTAATGTCGTCGTTTCGGCCATTTTGATCTACTTCAAGTGCTTCTGGCTGTGATGTTCCTTTCGTGATGGAGAATTTCTGACGGAATGGGCAGAGAAGGGACACACTGAAGGGAGTGCAAGCGTGGAGCGTCTGCGGGGACCTAGGTTCTGGCGTTAGCTCCCGAACAAAGGGAACATCTTTTGGGTATAGACATAAATCTAAGGAAGATCGGGACTAGTTCGAGTCGGGTGAATACCTAGTGCTGCTGCTCGTACTAGTGACGTCAAATTGAGTATGGATCTTGAGGATTGTTGCACCCAGCAATGTTCTCCCGGGACATGACTCGCCAAATTTGGCCCGTTCTTCATTTTGTGATGCATGTAGGAGGTTTATACAGATGCTAACAAAGGATGACATCCAATCTGTGTCTGCATTCTGTTACAATGAGCATGGGCATGCACGATATCTTTGCAATATGGCGAACTATCCCCGTTGCTGACTTGAGAGCATCTCACTGCGAAATATGTGTATTAGTGATCATTCGATTAGTGTGACCAGCACACCTGGAATCATGGGTCTTTTGTGTGATAGCGGTTCCTCCTCGGCTCACCCGGTGGTTTTGGTTCAGAAGCTAGAGCAGAAAGAGTCAGTATGGGAAACAAGAAGGCTGCATCCTGTGCTTTCTTTTGCTTCCTTGGGATGTGTCTTTCATCCGAGTCTTAACCAATAAAGGCCAATTTGAGGAACACTAGCTGATCTGCGGTGATGCCAGCAAGGGTCTTCTGATGGCGCTAACGAGCAGCTGAATCCAGGGGTTGAAATGAACGGCGCGCCGATCTTCTCGCACTCTCAGAGAAAATTACTGCATAATTTCAATACGCTGCACAAGATCTTGATACATGTACATCGTGGCTGCCTGGAGGATCTGAAAGCAACGAAATGGTATTGACCCTTATTTTCCGCTGAAAACATCCTCGAGAAACCCTTGTATCAACTTTGTGCTTTTGGCGTCATCGGGCGGCATGATAGCGCTCGCGTAGAAGCCGCCTATTCCCTTCTCGCGGTTCACAAACCAGACCAGGTTCGGAATTCCTGTCATGACGAGTGTCCCGCCGGGCAGGATCCTAGTGTCATCCTTGATGAAGTAAGCTCCTGGAGCTTGACCAACCTTTGAAGGATCATACTCCTCTCCAGTCAGCCGGCCGTACATCATCTTGAACTTTGTTAGTATCTCATCTCGACGTGATGATTTCATGGCAGACTTACTGCACCATAAGCGAGCATCCCAGCGGATGACGAGTCGGCGTTGAACTGTGGCGAGAACAACTCCTTCAAAGACTCTTCGCCGAGAATCATCGGCTTAGTTTGAAGAAGGTCAGTTGTCAACTTGGTGATGTCAGGTACACTCGAGACGAGGCCCATAGCTCCACTGTCGTCCTCCGTGACAGCGGGGTAAGGGCCTTCCATGGGCACGAGTGTGCCATCCGAGATTCTCGTACTCGTCTCAACCAGTCTCTCCTTGATTGTAGAATCTCTGTCAGGATGGAATGTTGTACTGGTCATTTCCAGAGGCTCGAAGATGTTGGTCTTCATGTATTCGCCGAGCTTCATCTTGTTCAGTCTCTCGACTAGGATCCCGGCCCACTCGACGCCTCCTCCATAAGCCCAACCATGGCCTGGCTCGAAGAGGAGAGGGATAGTGTATGCCTTCTTTGAGTCTCCCGAAAAGGCTTGCGGATGTTCTCCACGAGACATCCGCCAGGCCTGAAGCCTCGGATCAAAGACGTCCACACCAATGCCACTGGTATGAGAAAGCAGATGGCGAAGAGTGATCTTCTCCTTGTGTGGGTGAAGTGTCACGTTGCCCGCTTGATCATGGCCAAGGACTTGAAAGTCTTCGAGTTCAGGAAGAACATCGTAAACCTCGTCGTCTAGTTTGATCTGGCCTCGCTCCACGCACTGCAAAGCAGCAATCGCTGTAATTGTTTTCGTGATCGAATAGATCCAGAATACACTATCCTTTCCGATTTTGTCGGACTTGATGGTGCTGCTTCGGCCAAAATAATCCTCGATGAGTTGATGCCCTTAGCGAATGTTAGCAATCTCCTCACATCGATTGGTCCTGAAAGCCTGGACTCTGGAAACCACCATATCGCACGAAGACTCACCTGATGAATCGGTCGCGAACACGGCCAGGCCAGTGACACCATCAGCATCCGGACGCGTTTCTGCTACAGCCTGATTTTGAAAATATGTCGACATTTTTGTTAATAGGCTCCTCTGATGTGCTGCCGCAATGGTTCACGTTTCAACCTAACACGAGGATTTCATTCGACCCCTTAAGTGAAGCCAAGGCGATCACTGACGTTCTCTCTGCCGATGAGTATCGGCCAGCTAGGAGTCTTTAGCTGATACAGTAACATCCTGGACTCATGCGTCACATTTCTTCCTTGTCCTTGTTGGCAGAAATCCAAAGCAACACAGTCGCACGGGCCGGAAGACCGGAAGCTGGCAACACTGGTTTCCGGCCGAAATCCGAACCATGAATGACCCATGTTTCGGCTTGATTCATCGACACCAACATGAGTGCCTAGGCAACCAGACGGAAAGCATCTCATCATAAGGTAGTATTACGCAGTGGTTATGGGTTTCGGACGTTTGTTTCTTTGAACGCCGTGCAACTTCCGGCTGCGAACGTGGTCCGACTCGAAGCAGTGCTGAATGCCCCGGCCCACTCAAGATCTGACGGCCAGTAATTTAGGCGAAGGTTGAAAGCGCCTATGGTGTCTAATATATCTCCTCAAGTTTTTGAATAGGTACCTGCTCTGGAAGAAAACAAACCTGTTATATTCAAATAATTGATCATCAGACTGGACGATTCGACCATGGAAGCTATTGCAAGTCGCAAACGAATCAACCCCCCTAAAGACGCCGTCCCCAATGCGCTCGCGGGCAAGGTAGCCCTAGTGACGGGCTCTTCGTCCGGCATTGGAGCTGCCATTATTAGAGAACTCTCAGCCCGAGGGGCTTCGGTGGTCATCAACTACGGTTGGCCCGAGTTGGAACGCGCCGCGCGCGATCTTGGGGAAAGCCTGACGAGCCCTTGGATTGCCGTGGAAGCAGACATTTCGACCACGAGCGGCCCCTCTCATCTTGTGCAAGCCGCCGTCGACCAATTTGGGAAGATCGACATCATCGTCAACAACGCAGCTAAAGCAACACTTGCTAAAGTAGAAGACACAACCGTCGACTTGTGGGATGCGTCAATGTCAACCAACGTCCGCGGGCCATTCTTGGTGTGTCAGGCAGCGTTACCGCACCTCCCACCCAAGTCGGAGGGTGGCGGCGGTAGGATTATCAACATCACTTCTGCTGTATCGACGGACCCTGAGGTTCAACAATTGGCGTATGCCACCAGCAAGGGTGCGATTGCGACTCTTACCCGTTGTCTGGCAAAAGAGTTACCACCTACCCACGGATGTACGGTGAACGCAGTGTCTCCTGGTATCATCAAATCGCCACAGTTCCTTGGAGAATTGCAGAGAACTGGCGGCGCCTTTCTGACGCAGATATTCGATGCCAGGACCCCTGTGGATGGATGGATTGGGTTGCCTGAAGATGTCGCTTTTGCAGTTGCGTTTTTGGCGGAGGAGAGAGCAAGCTGGATTAATGGTGCTAGTTTGAATGTCTCTGGAGGAATGTTTCTTGATTGACCTCAACCTCTACAACTCAATCTTTAGAAGTTTACGATATTGACCAATTGCCATCTATCCAGCCTATTGATGGATGTGTGCTGTATAGCTCTGCTAGCAACTCGTTCTCCTCCAGAGTGCTCAAGTCAGGGAATGTGATCCCGCTGGCTACATGTTCCCCTGCTACCGGGATAGATAGTGCATCCTGTACCAATGATGTGAAGGGCCCTATCTCAGAAGGACCTGAAAGACCTTGAGAAACCCTATCATGGTGTGTGTGCAGCGTAGTCTTTTGCGGCGGCAAATTTGCTATTACTGGGACTGTTGGGGAAGTGACATCGATCGACCTGTTCACCTCAAAGATAGGCTTGCAGAGTTTAACGAATTCCTCGAAAAGCTTTTGGACTCCCATCAAAGCTGGATTATGGCCAGCAAACTCCTGGAGGCTTGTTGTAACCTGAGTTATCAAGCTGTAATCTTGAAGACTCGAGGTGTTGACTGTGTGGGTGAAAATTACGAAAAAGGGGTAAACGGGATATAACAAAATAAGCCTAAGCAGTCAGCTGTCAACGATTACGTCTATTCGATGGAAACTTGAACTTAGAAGATGGACTTACCACGAAACTGAAACCCGAAATAGGTGAAAATCCACCAAAGTTTTAGCGATGCTCAACATCTCAGATAGGGAACTAAGAGATGTGCGAGCGTAACTAAGCAATTGCTGGTGTAAACCAGCATCATCCATTAGGTACGGGTGGAGCTTGACAACCGATGTCATGACGGAATGATAGACAAAATCTACGCCCATCCACTCGGCCTGAAGATACTTCTCCTTGGTATGCAAGGGCTGCTTTTGACACTATCCTCAATCAGTAAAAGTTCTCTGCCTATTTCATGTGCTCGATTACCCCCACCTCTCTGATCGTTTCTTTTATTTTCCACATCTTTCCTTGCAATGTTTGGATTGTTTCAACATCTTCTCGTGCTTTCCTGTTCTTGATCTCCATGTGGTGAACAATTTCGGATTGAACCTCGGCCAATTGCAGAAAGACTTGAATGAGTGAAGTATATGGCTTCTTTGCGTCTGGTGGCACCAGTTCCGCAGGGTTCATGTCGAATTCGGGCAGAGACAGGCAGCGGTTCATGCTCAGAGCCAGCGCTCTATCAAACATGTAGCAGATCGATAAAGTATACCGAGTTTCTCGCAGCTCATGGGCAGCCATGGTCTGAGAGCTGATCCGGCGAGGTCCACCCAAGGCCATGCATACTCTCGATGCTGACGCACTCAACTGCCAACACATCTCCAATTTCCCCGAGAGGAGCATAAACATGGCCTGAAAGTCTCAGCATGAATAATTCAACAGAACGAGTCGCGCAATACTCACACCGGAAAGCAGTGCTTGAAGCAGTGGCAAGCTTGGCTGGTCCAGGACGCCTATACGGCATAAAGCTGCTTGTAAGTTCTTCTCATACTGTTGGCGCCTCTTCAGAATATGCTGGGCCATAATAGATCCTGTCGTATGATAGTTGGAGGCTCCTAGATACATCCAGACAAAGAAGTTCACAGTCACTATGTAATGAACACGCGTCGCACCATTTACAGACTTTTCAATCAGTTCAAGGGCTTGACGCTCAAGCGTTTCTTCAGAAATGACAGACCCGATGTCCATTGTAAAAGACTGGCCGACACTTTTTCGAGGACCTTGAATTCTATCAGCACTATTCGACAAGACACAAGAAAAGGAGTTTTCTAACTTGAAAGGATCAGATAAAGACTCTCGGCTGTTGGATAAGAGTTTTCGCTGAATATATCAAAGTTTTCCGAAGAATCCTCTTCGTACGCAATGACGCTTGGTTGCTGGGACGCCTGCTTTGAAAACGCCAGAGCTGCTCTGAGAACTTCTCGTTTTCCTGCATCTAGCCCTAGGCGGGACTCCAGCTCCGATCCAATGTGACTGTGAGCTTGTGCAGCAGCTGGTCCCGTTTCAGTGGTGGAGGAACAAGTTGACTTTTGCTTGCTATTTTGAGAAGCAGGTGTTTCCCCTGGCACGTTTCCCTCATCATGAAATTTTAGCTCTGAACGTTGTTCAAGAACTGAAGAGTTGCCATGCAATTGTTGGGGAGCAGCTTGTGGGCTGCGGGGCGTTATTCTTGGCGACGGAGGGTTCCTCCGAGTCGATGCGATAGCAAACGAATTATTTCTACATCATTTCCATGTGTCGATTAGTGTCGTCGAATTCAGACTCTTGTGGCCTGGTAGAAGATTGGGAAACGCACCTCACATAAGCTGCATGTCTAATTCTTCTCTTAGGCCGTCTGCGTAAACAATCCACGGAGGCCGCTCGACAATTGGCACAAGGATCCTCTCTGTCGCACTTGATCTTTTAAACGAGGTCAGTATAACATGAAGATTCAAATTATAATACTTCGATAGAGGCGCAGCAAGTGCTTACCTTCTTTTCGAAGCAAAAGTCACACTAGGCCTGGATTAGTATGCGGTACTTCTTCACTAGCAGAAAGGTGGGACTACTTACGGCACGATTCCTCGGCGCAGCATCGTTAATCGTCCCGATTTGAAAGGCCATACTTTACTATGCAGCAAGTTCATCATAACAGTGCTGACCATGGAGGTTCGCAGTTGTTCCAGTTCGGAATATTGTGTCCGAAAGGGGTGTGAACAAGGCGGAAGGATGGCGAAGGGATGAGGGTGTAGGGCAGCCTAGGCGGAAGTCAGTACCGGTGGTTGGAGCCAACACTTCAACACCCGGACGGACTTCGGACGGAGACCTCTAGCTAATTGAAGCTGTCATCGATCGGGATGGATTTGATCCGAGCGACCCATGTTGATGGGGATCTCGGGCGCGTGGGGTTCGGCCACCGATGCCGGTGGGATGAACACCATTACACATTTCCGGGTCATGCCGCACCCAGATTTTGACCACAAGCTGTGACATTATAGACAATGATTGCCAAGTACAGCTCTATTGGGGACCAGGGCAACACAAAGATCACCGGAAAGAGTCCATATGCTACTTTTTTTTACCAGGAGATATTACCCAATGCAGAGGCATACACAAAATAAGGATAAAGGTGTCTGCCGATTGCTGACTTTCTAATTTTCAAAACAGAAAGTAACTAGCATACCGATATCAAGGAAGGTTGATCGTCTGTCTCTGATCCGGCGAATTCACGTAAACTTCCTTGTTCTACTGTCTCACATGACCATTTTCGTCAATGTCCTCACGCAGAATCTTCTTCATGAGCACTGGGTTGACGGGGTCAGGGAAAACCTGCTCGTATGTCAGTCATTGCCGATGTAGTCTTGAGCAATAGAATTGCAAACCTGATTCTCAAAATGAACATGCGCGTGTCTGTCTTGGCCATCCGGGTTCTTGATATCGTAGTTCATCAGGATGAACGCGACAATTAGCTTTATCTCGATATCGGCTAAGAATCGCCCAGGACATGCCGTCTTGCCAAAACCCCAGCCCAACATATCTCTGCGAGCGCTGACATAGTGATGCTTTCCGCCATCTTTGTCATCTTCTTGACGCAATTTCAAGAATCTGAATCCGTCGAACTCAGTAGCGTCAACGAAGAACTCACTATCACGGTGGATGGCGAACGTCGGAAACTCGAGCTTTGTACCACTCGGGATGAAGGTACCGTCTGAGAGAGTAACATCTTGGGTAGCGCGTCTCTGTAAAGTTGCTAAGATATCGTTAGATCCACTCACGGCTAACAATCAATGAATAACATACTGAGGTTCGGCGAGTTCAGGCGATGAGTCTCGCGAATGAAACTGTCCAACTTGTGCATGTCCCACAAAGCAGCTTTCGAGAATTCCCCATTGAATTTGACCAAAGTATCAATCACCTCTTTCCTCAATTCTGGGATATACTCTGGATGTGCCGAAAGCTCGAAAAGCGTCTGGGTGAGCACGGCGGAGGTGGTGTGTATTCCTCCCACAGCAAGATTCAGCTGCTCCTTGAGATGCATGTCAATGACCGCGGAAGAAGCACCTGGTGCCTTGCGAGACATATGGTAAAGCACACTCGTCGGCTGACGCTCTGGAACGCCGTTCTTCTCTCGCTCATCAATTTTGCGGATAGCGTCGACAACTATAGACCTTCCGAGGTTGAGTTGCCTCTGAACCTCAGCGTATCCTGGCACAAATCGATGAACGACCGGCCTTAGCATTGGGGGCCAGAACTTCAAAGCATGCGCGTGCCTTACCCCAGCATGCAGATACTCGGTGGTCAGAGTGACCCAAGTCTCATTGTGAGGGGCATCACTGTCAATCATGACTCTTGCTGTTATTATGCCGAGCATACGAAGCATTTTCGGATAGATGTTGACCGAAGCCCATTCTATCGGTAATGAAGGTACGTTAGTCAGGTGTTGTTGTAAGTGGTAGGCTAGTTGGAGAGAATGTATACGCAACTTGCCTTCTGATTCAATGAGTGCGTTGGGGATATAACCGTCAATAAGTGAAATGAAGTCAGGAATGAACATGGCTAGAATAAGCGGAAGTTAGTTCCACATCGAAAACATCTTGAAGGGAAAACTGACGAAGATGAGGTGTGATTTCTCGCTTGAAAGTAGACAATGCGAACTGCTTCAGTCCGCCCATGTACGTGTAATCGATCAACAAATCCTAAGCTTTCTCAGTATGACAAGCCTGGCTCCATTTCTCTCCTGGTCTTACTTCGTCGAGGGAGTTTTGGAAGCTAAGTCCTGGCTCTTTCGAGATTTCGTCCACATATTGATGCGGAAAGATGAGTTTGACACCTATCCTAGTGTGTCAGCACATGTAATCAAGGAGTGTTGTGAGAATATGAAATTGCTCGTACCATCTGCTGTATCCACGCCAAAGATTCTGTCTTTGAACTAACGGAATTATTCAGTCCGGAACATCCACCACAAGGTTCGAAGCTGCATACCTTTTTGTATCCTGTCTGCACAATACCGGGAGCATTGAAGGTGTATTGGCTTTTTCGTTGTTTAGGGTCTTTGACTTCGAATCCAACCAAGGGGATTCCAGACAGCTTCGAAACTGATCGGCGATACGCGAGGGCAGCAGCAACGCCGCATAGAAGGACCCAGGCCCAAACAGTCGAGAACATGTTTAGAAGGATACGGCAGTACTGGTTTGATCGATGATTTCAAAGTTGACGAGAGTAAAAGTCCAAGTTCTACTTGCAACACTCCCTTTTGTATATCGCCCCGGACAAGACTGCCCCTTTTCATCACCATTCATTGACGACATGACTTCATCTCGAGAAGAAAAAAGCCCCTATGCCCCTCAAATTCCCATAACCCACTGTGCGTAACAGATTGCAGACATTATTAGCGATCAGTAGCTCCTCATTGGATTGGGCTTGTGGGGTCTTAGCACACACATCTCTTCTCAAGCTGCTTCATTGATCCAGAAAGCCGGCTTTCCGTTTTCGCAAAACGGCCGACATCCGACAGAGCAAGTCTCGAGATTTGAGCAATTTCAAACTCCCACCAACGTAGTCACAGATTTTTGGTCGCACAGAAGTTGAGATCTACAGATACTAATGGGTTTTCCGGACTCCGGTTTCCGAAAGCCGGGTGTTCTCGAGACCCACCTGTCGCCCGAGAGCGACGGGCATAGCACGAAAGTCTATCTCATTGCCGGGAGTTAGAAGCGGTAGCCGAGTCATAATTCTTCCAGAAATACGTGTTAGCTGTGTCAGTTTCGATTAAGAGAAGCCGTGACCAACTACAAAGCCGAACGACTTTTCACACCAGCCAACATGAGGGCAAGACACAACCGAGTCAGATTTCAAACCATTATCACCCAAATTCTACCTTGATTTCTTTACTTTGAGAAGAGTTGACTTCGACTTTTCGACTGATGGGAGAAAAGCTTTACTGCCTGGACATAAGATGACAAGTTCCATAGCCCTTCAAGTTGCCATCATCGGTGGTGGCATAGCCGGACTCGCAGCGGCACGTGTCTTGCGAGAAGCTCATGATGTCACCATATACGAGCGTAATGATCCAGAAGCGGGAGAAAGTGGTGCTGCCATTGGGCTAGGTCCAAATGGCTCGAAGATGGCCGCCAGACTTGGACTTACTAAAGAGTCCCTGAAAGCTGTTGTATCTAATGGCTTCAGGAGTTATGACCAAAACGGCAACTTGATTAAAGAATCAAGGATTGACTGCGTCAAAGGCTTCGGTTCCGAGTGGTGGATGGTCCATCGCCAGGATCTCAAAGATGCTCTCCTACGAGTTGCAACAAGCCCTGATCTGGGTCTATCTGGCCGTCCTGCCAAGGTTATCTACAATTCTCGCGTTGTGCGAATTGACCCTCAAGATCGAGCTTTAATCTTTGAAGATGGGTCCGAGATCAGAGCGGATCTCATAATTGGTACGTCTAGTCGCTGTGCTAAACTAAGATGACTGAACCTTAAGAGTATCCAGGTGCGGACGGCATTCATTCGAAAGTCCGTCGAGCTGTTGCTGGTCCGTGTTACGCCGAGTCAACTCCCGCGAACCTTTCTTTGTATAGGTTCACCATTAGCCGTTCCAGAATATCGGATGTTCTCGGAGAAATTCCGGATGTGCTCAGATATGAAAACGGCGTTTTTCTATCTTCCTTTATTGCGGCGGACGGGTCGAACCGAAACGTTGTTGTATACCCATGTCGCGATATGGAGGTCATGAACTTTGCTTGCGCTGTCCCAGACAGTATGCTTCGGCGGCAGACCGAAGAGTCTTGGACTAAGGATGGCGATGTACACGAAATGCTTGAGGCTTTTAAGGACTTTCCATCATGGCTTCTACAACTCATGAAGTGGGCTACCCTACAGCATTTTTTCGAGATGAAGGAACGCTAAGCTGACTACCATTACCAGAACCTTGCCTGACGTCAAACTATATCAACTCCGTGATGCAGACCCTTTAAGTACCTTTACGAAAGATTCGACTGTTTTGATTGGCGATGCAGCCCACCCTATGGTGCCGTATCAAGGACAAGGAGCCAACCAAGCTTTGGAAGATGCTGAAGCATTCAGAATTCTAGTTCACCCAGACTTCACAAAAGAGGATTTGCCCGGTAAGCTGAAGCAATGGAACCAAGCCAGGTGTAGCCGCGCATCACAGGTTCAGCTGAACTCAAGAGTAGCGGCAGCTAAAGTTTCGCCTGAGATTATCATGCAAAGGATGAAATTCAACTGGACTTATGACGGGATCGCAACCTCACCGGCGGGCCTTGGGAGCATCAATGATCTTCCAAGTTCCGACTTTTCTAGATGATCATCTGAATTTTAAGTGAGAGACAGAGTTTGGAAATAGAGATACTTTTCTACTGCGCTTCCTGGACCATTGCAACAAGTTTACGTAACCTCCCTACTTCTCAACGTGTTCAACTCAGTTCCCCCTTCCTGACCGTCCGCATAAGGTGCGTAAGTCAGGTAGTCTTTGTACGCGTTTGATCTTGGGTCGCTAGTTGTTGAACTCTCCGTGCCGCTGCTCTTTACGGTTGCTTGTGAGCTCTCCCAACCCGAGCGATTGCCCGTTATCCTGATTGTAGTGATGCGTGCCAAAGTGTCCTGAATGCGACGAGCAACGGAACGCCCTGTTCGTGGCTGATTCCTGTCTGGCTGCTGAGGCGTATACTGCTTCATGCGATACATTCGCGGTGACACTCGTCGAATGAAAGAAGTCATCCCCGGCATGCACGCACAAATGACACTCATGTGCATCTCAACCAACGACCAAATTGATAGGTCTTTGTAATCGTCTGTATGCAAATTCTGAAGTCAGTTCTGGTCTCCACAAGTCTGTAAGATCTCACTCACACGTCGGATTCTGCGTTCCGCCGAACTTCGCCAATGTAGCCAGCCGGATCCCACTCGAGGCCGTCACCCTATAGGGCAATCAGTACCCGCTAGAAGAAATAATGAGATATGTATAGCGGTACTTACGATAAACCAACTAAAAATATGAGACTCACGCCGATCTTCTTCTTGAGAGTCCACGAGACAGTGATACTACATCCTTTGATCAGTAATCGAGTACTAAGGTAAGCAACCTCTGACATCTTCTTACAATTGAGTGACTGGCAGAATGAACAAAATGAAGTCGATGGCAATATTCACTCCACCATTGATAAATGCCATGAGATTAACGTTCCCGCACTAGTTGGAATCCCAAAATCAGCCAATGTGATCCGAATGGAATGGCAGTAGGCCAGAGTGAGGCCACATTAGACACATACCTTTCCTTGATGCTCACCATCCCATTGCGTCCAATTATAGCTCACTGGGGAGCATACGAGGACGATACCTAGTATCTGCCCGATACCATAGACCGTCGTGACCCCTAACATAACATAGCAAACCACCCGGAACCAGGTCTCGGCGAAGAGACGTAGGTAGAATATGAGGATCGACAACTTGGTGACAGCCACAACGAATGAGTAGAGAAGCTCCTCGATGAAGAAAAGCTTGACATTATGTCAGTATGCTATCAGTTCCCCAGTAATTGGGAGCATGGGGTATTGGGGCCCGTCCTTACCAAGAGAATCTGGGTGATGTTGTCTGGAGAGACCATCCATATGTCCTGCCCCAGACCTATACCGATCACTACGGATATGGTCAGTCATGATTGTTGAATAAGGATGTCAGCTCGTGAACACACAAATTTGCGATCCAATGTCTGCTGGGATCAGCGCAAGAGTAGATGCAAGGATCAGCCAGTCGTCCCAGCCGAACGAGAATGCAGGATTCAGAGAAGGAATTTTGGAGATCAGTCGAGCAGCTAGAGCCACCAGCGCAATAGAGAAGAGAGTCCATGTGATGGGACCTTGATCCGTGTTGCAACGAACGGGCACTCTGCAAGACGTTTTCGAGTATCTCTGTGCCTCTGGTAGTTAGACGCCTGTCAGCATGATCTATGCGCAACGTCTTGTAGACTTGAACCAAATGATAGATGGACTTCGAAAGAAAACCGCTTCCAAACAAGTGATGTCATACGTAGAGACTCAGTCACAGTGCAATGCTGTGCCAAACATGCGCCAATGTTTCCGTTGAGCAAACGATTTGTGCAAATACACGTAAAGTCGGTAGCGTTGCAAGGCGACTTTGCAACCTCTCTCGTTGTGCAATTCAACTACGTTACCTTGAGTTAACGTTCACTTAGAATAGCAGATCAGTGGGGTCTTACTGCACATGGGGATAACGAGGCTGTCATCTGCTCCATCGCGGCTGCTGCCGGGTCAAGGGGGGCTGGTGATGTTACCCCGGGCGAAGTTGCATTTGATATTGTGGTCAGTTGTATAGAGGTGGATGCTGCTATCACATCCACGGCGAGGCATGCTAGCCAAACCGCGATGCGCAGTCTGGTCCAGCTCATGGCTGCGTGTCATCTGAGGATTGAGGCAAGTCGTCCTGTCCACCTGGCGTGATCATAAACGTGAAGGAAAAAAGCCCAGAACCAACGCCTAGCCATGATTACGAGATCATTGCCCGTGTTTGAAGGATGGGGGCTCCACCCTATTTATGAGGTCACTAATTGTCGCTACAGCCGGTTGCAGTCTAGATCGAGCGAAACGAGAGGCTATGTGGATCGGAGCAACCCAGGCCTGCCGGGGAGGCGGCGCATGCGGATGAGACATTTGGGCGATGCAGTTGTCGGTGCGAAGCCAAACTCAAAACGGACGATGTTCATCGTCAAGTTCGCTGCACTGAGTCAGACTGTCTGCTAGCTAAGAAAATTGCGAGCCCAAATTACTGCCCACGCGAGCTACGCTGTCGTGGACTCGGACAAGGTTTGTAGCCGTCGTTCCAGAGCATAAAGAGACGGCAGGTTGCCACGGGACGTGGAGCGGCATGTTCGACTCCGCAAGGGCACAGGCACCTTGGTTGCCCGGCTCGGTCCAGATTCGGGGATGACTCGATCCATGGGAAGCGAGGGCCTTTTCGTGTCGTTTACGAGATGTCGCGACACAGTGATAGAATAGACTTTTGCCCAATTCTCTCTTCCCACGTGGCAGCTACACTACCTATCATTAAGAATGAGAGCTTGCCCGCCGAGCAGCCACGCGGCAATGACACGAACAGAACGGAGCAATTACCTGCGAATTTTCCCAAAG